AATTTCTGAATTTCTGGGTTGTTTAGTAGTTCTATTTTTGATTTTTTGAGGAACCTTCATACTGTTTTCCATAGTGGTTGTACCAACTTACATTCCCACCAACAGTGCATGTGTTTCCCTTTTCTCCACAGCCTCTCCAACACTGTTTCTTGTCTTTTTGATAATAGCCAATCTAATATGTGGTAGGTAATTTTATTGGTTTTTTTTTTTTTTTTTTTTTTTTTTTTTTTTTTGCATTTCCCCGATAATTAGTAATGTTGAACATCTTTTGATGTGCCTGTTGGCCATCTGCATGTCTTCTTTCGAAAATGTCTTATTTAGATCCTTTGCCCATTTTTAAATTGGATTTCATTTGTTGGTTTGTTTTGCTGTGAGTTGAGTTCTTTATATATTTTAACATTAACCCCTTATCAGATATATATGATTTGCATACACATTCAGTAGGTTACCTTCTTATTTTGTTGATGGTTTCCTTTGCTTTGCAGAAGGTTTTAGTTTGATGTAGTCTCATTTGTTTATTTTTGCTTTTGTTACCTTTGATTTAGAGTCAGATCCAAAAAAAAAAAATCATTACCAAACCTATGGCAAGGAGCCTACTGCTTGTGTTTTCTTCTGGGGATTTTATGGTGTTAAGTCTGACACTCAATTCTTTAATACATTTTTAAGCTAATTTTTGTGTATGGTATAAGAGAGTGGTTTGATTTCATTCTGTTGCATACATCTGTCTAGTTTTCTCACCACCGTTTATCAAAGAGACTGTCCTTTCTCCAATTTTGTATATTCGTGGCTCCTTGTCATAAATTAATTAACTATATATGTATGGATTTATTTATGGGTTCTCTATTCTGTTCCATTGATCAATGTGTCTGTTTTTATGCCAATACTATACTTTTTTATTACTGTAGCTTTGTAGTATAGTTTAAAATCATGGAATGTGATACCTTCCACTTTGTTCTTCTTTCTCAGAAAATTGCTTTGGCTATTCAGGGTGTTTGTGGTTCTATACAAATTTTATAGTTATTTGTTCTAGTTCTATGAAGAATACCATTGAAATATTGATAGGAATTACATTGAGTCTATAGATTGCTTTGGGTAGTATGGACATTACTTACAATAACCTAAGTGTCCATAGATAGGTGAATGGATAAAGAAGATGTGGTATCTATACTAATGAAAAGGTAATATGCTAATTAGACTGGGAGACCTTTCAGGAGACCTTCCTGGACATACTTCTGGACAAAGCCATGGTGGAAGGGCTGAGGCAGAAACTATTAGAGGAAATCAGGATGGTAGGGGGAGCCAGTTGAGGGTGGGCATGCCAGCAAGTGTGTGTGGGGCAGTTGGGGACAAGCAGGGTGGCAGCTAGAGTGGTTAGGGGCAATCAGGCAGGCAGGTGAACCATTAGGAGCCAGCCATCCTAGATTGTAAGAAGGATGTCCCACAGAGATCAGGCATAAACCAGCAGTTGGACATCCCCCGAGGGGTTCCCAGATTGGAGAGGGTGCAGGCTGGGCTGAGGGACATCTCCCACCCCCCTGCATGAATTTTATGCACCAGGCCACTAATATATATAAAAAGAAGAAAATCTTACCATTTGCAACAAGGTGGATAGAACTTGAGGATATTATGCTAAGTGAAATAAGTGAAATAAGTCAGACAAATACCATATGATTTCACTTATATATAAACTATAAAAACCAAAACATGTATAAACAAAACAACAAAATTCATAGATACAGAGAGCAGATTAGTGAGTGTTAGAGGATAAGGGAATTAGGGGGTGGTTGACATAAGTGAAGGGGTTCAATTGTGTGGTGATGGATGGTAACTAGACTTATTGTGTCAATAACTATAATGTATCTAAAGATCAAATTATTATGTTGTAGACCTCAAACTAATAGAATGTTATATACCAATTTGACCTCAACCAGAAAATAAAAAGTACCTAAGCAGATATACTATTTTGGTTTACAGTTGTACTTACCTTGTCAAGAATAATTATTTGTTTGTAGGAATGAGGTCTCCTTAGGTCATTATAGTCATTCTGTCCTACCTTTAGTAAGAAATAACATTTTTAAGCTCTACAGTGGTAAAATAGAACCTCATTTATTATTTTTTCTAGAATTTCTATGTAGATTTGTAGCTACCTGCAATTCTTTATAAATTGATATTGACAGTCAGAAGGTCTTACTATTGCTTATCTTTTGTAATTGGACCATGAGGGGGAGGCTGCTTCCTGTTTGGCTAATGCTCCCTCTTTGGGGCATTAGTGGAAGCTTCCATTTTAATCCTGCACAGCAGGGCTGCTTTCTTCTGGTTTATTGTTACCTTTCAAGTGATTACACTTAGGCTCTGGTCTCCTTGTGAAGGAGGTGGCCTATTTGGTGGATTAGAGGAAGATTCTGGAAAGTATGATAATGGGTCAGGAGAAGATTCTCTGGGATAAAAGGCTCCTAAGGGCTCCAGATTTTCCTGGTTTGGGTATGAGTTTAAGGTGAGTGTGACCTCGATTTATAACGAGTGTGCAATTTGGTGCTCAGTAGAATTGGGTCCTTAATATTTATACCACGTTATGTAAGTGCTGTCCTTCCAAGTGCTTTCTTAAATCCTCTTAACTTATAAATGACAGATTTGATTTATTAAAAAAAAAATCATTTACTGGTATCCAGCCGAAGATGGTAAACAATAGATGCTTAGTGCCCTCCTCCCATGGCAGCCCTCAAGGCTGAGACTTATATTCTGGAGGGTTGATTGCTGTGCTTTTGAGCTTATTAAGGCCCTATGTAACTGAGGGGTCAGGAGCACGCTGGTGCTGTATTGTTGGGTGCCCAGAGTTTCCAGCAGTGCTCAGTAAGGAAGACGAAACTACACGCCCATTTGGAGTGATCAGTGCTACTTTTTGTCTAGTGGTCAAAATGTTAGGGAGTTGGACAATCGCTGAAATGATTTGGGATTCAATTTCTACAGAAGGACGCTGAGCTTGCCTTAATGGAAAGGGTGTGAGCTCATGAAACTATCTTTTAGGTGTTGTGGGTCATTTCCCTGCCCACCCCCCCTCCAGCTACTTGGTGACATCTGTTATTTTATGTCTTCATTACAAATGCCCCCTCCCTCTGGGGCCTTCAGGACACATGCAGAGAAGAGAGAAGAATTAAAAATGAAGCTCAGCTCTGGTCAATGTGATTCACTGGGTCCTTGGGGGATGTCATTTGTGTAGGAGATGTTTATTAAGTGCTGTGTAGGTGCTAGCCCAGTACATCGCATTGGAGTAATAAGGAAAAAGACAGCCTGTGTCTCAGGACAGGACTAAGTGCCCGGAGCCAGTAACTGCAGAATACTGGGAGATACAAGATAGAAACAGCTTGTTTCAGAAGCCTGGGCAGCCCACAAGAAGCACTCTTCTCAAGGTAATTTATTCGCTAAGTGGTTGATGCTTACATTTCCTTTGCTATATTTGGGCCACAGAGAGGCCTTAGAAGTGGCTCCGATGATACAGTGGCTCTCACAACATTGGTGCTGAGCTGGTGGGGGAAGGGTTTCTGCTCCCTGAGACCGTTCTCAGACCACCCAGGGCACCGCTGGTGAGCTGTCAGTGGGTTCTGAGAGAGCGGGTTGACATGCAGTGTGCAGGCATGCCTTGCTCAGCAAAAAGAAAATAGGCACAACTGACTTGGCAATCTCTTACCCACCTGGACTCATTGACCTAGAATATACCTAGGATCCAAGAAATTCGTGGAAGTAATTGAAGTCATAATGCTCAGATGTGTCCGCACAAGGACCCTCTACACACATACAAGCAGATTTGGAGGTCTAGTCTAAACTGCTTTGTGGGTTTTAAAAGCAGAAAATTACAAGAGGAAGAGAAATGTATATAAAAGGAATGGCCCAGTGACCGAATGATAAAGTGACAGTTACCCATTTTAAAGGGAGAAATAAAGAAGATGGAAAACTGAAAAAGAGAAAATGGAATCCCACTGAACGTATCGCCGGCCATTTCCTGTGTCATCAGGCAGCGGAGATAGCCAGGAGTTCTAGGGCGTGGGATTGGAGTCGGAAGCTTTGAAGTTTCCCTAGTGATTTTCATGCGGCCCTGTTTGCGTATTTCTGCACCACAGACCATAAGGCAATTGATGTTCCCTGTTCAGCAAGAGATGAGATATTCTGCTTTTAGGAAGACAAATGTATGCTAGCTCTTAAAATATTCCCAGTCACAATGATAATGTTAATTTCTTGATGCTTGAAGCATCACATCCTCAGCTCTTTGAAAAACTTGACTCTTTAAATAATTCTGTTTCCTGAAAGATTGGAATTTTACTGCCTGGGGTAGATCACACCATGTAGAAAATACTAATTTGTATTATAAAAAAAAAGCCGCCGTTACTTTATAAGCCGTAAACTCTTATAGCAGATTATAAGTAACACTTTATGTATATTATGCAGTGACTTGCAACTTTCCAGAAATGTATCTGAACATTCGCATCCCTTTGTGTCTTCACCTCTCATTTGCCATTTGTTAGCATATTATTTTGTATGTTAGGTCATATGTATAATCCATCTTCCTGGCCGAAAATATCTTCTTAATGTTTTCAGCTCCTGATACATAGCAGGTCTCAACAAATACTTATTGAATGACTAATAATGAAACAAGTTGTGCTGAGCTATCTAATTACTTTTTTACTGACCATGTAAATACTTTCCATTATCTTTTTCCCCTCTGAGATTACATACTGAAATCTTTATGGACTGTGAACTACATTTGATGATTAGAGTTGTCTGAACGTTGAACAGCTTCTTCATGCCTTTGCTTTTCCCTTACTGAACTAAAAGGAGGAAGCAGCATGAGGTGTTGTAGAGTGTGAATAGGTTACGGGCTTCAGATGAAGCTCTGAGGTGTGTTCTTGTGGCAGGAGTGTCCTTGCCTTGATGGGGTCACTGCGGTGAGGCATGTATCATAGTGTCAAGAGGATGCTCACCTGTGCTCATGCTGTCGTTGGTCCCAGGTGACTGTGGAGGAGGTCATGACCACAACTGCCTACTTGGACCTTTTTCTGCGTAGCATCTCCGAGCCAGCGCTACTTGAGATCTTCCTCCGTTTCATCCTGTTGCACCGGCACGAGAATGTTCACATCCTAGACACTCTCACCAGTCGAATCAACACCCCATTTCGGGTAAGATTTCAGGAGAATTCGTTTTGGAAGAAGATTATGAATATTCTTTTTTTCCTCCCCTCTCTCCCACCATTTTTTTTTTTCTTGCAGCCATTACCGTTTCTACTTTGGAAACAGAATGCATTTTCCTCTTAGCAGTCCTTTTGACAGGGCGGTGGCACTTACTGCCTTTCATAGGACATGTTTCTCAGTTTGTCTGGGTTGGCACTTTTTTCTATGGAACTAGCAGAATGTTCTTTGGAGGAGGCATGAAGCAGCAGAACATATGGGTCTAAGTACAGACAAAGCCAAAGAGCCAGCGTGTAGCAAGTCTGGATGTTAGAGATTATATTTCTGTCCTCAAGTATTTTAAAATGGAAGTCTGGGCAGTTGAGAATTTAGGAAGTCGTTCTTCAGTTTGAAGTTCTGATCAACTTGGAAAAATCATGTTATAATATTACTATTGCCCTTTGCAACCCCCCTCCTCCACCAAAGGCTATCTCTATTTAATGACAATTATTAATATTGTTTTAAAAGTAAAAGAATAATAACTCAATGGATTATTGAGTTTGCAACATATACATAATATATAATATGTATAATAATAATAGCACAAAAGGGGAAGGGATAAAATTATATAGGAGTAATATTTCTCTATTCCACAGGAGCTAATTTAGTATAAATCTGAAGTAAAGTCTGATAAGTTAAGATGTATATGTTAAGACCGAGAGCAACCACTAATAAAATAACTTTAAAAATATAGTGAACCCTGGCTGGTATGGCTCGGCTAGCTGGAGCATTTTCTCATATGCCAAAAGGGTGCAGGTTTGATTACAGTCAGGGCACATACCTCAGTTGCCTATTCAATCCCAGTCGGAGTGAATACGAGAGGCAAGTTATCAATGTGTCTCTCTGTCTCTCTCTTTCTTTTTCTCTTCCACTCTCTCTAAAAATCAATGAACATGTCCTTGGGTGAAGTCATATGTATATATATAAATTATTAAAGGAATAAAAATGTTAAACTAAGGAAAATATTCACTTAATGCAAAACAAGACAGTAAAAGATGAATAGGAGAATAAAGAATCATAAGACATATAGAAAACAAAAAGTAAAATAGCAGACAGAAATCCAATTATAACAATACATTAAATGTGAATAGGTTAAAAACTTAATCAAAAGGCAGAGATTGTCATACTGGATAAGAAAAGAAGAGCCAATCACATGCCATCTACAAGAGATACACTTTAGATTCAATGATACCAATAGATTGAAAGTTAAATTTCTAAACCTGTCCTGAACCAAATAATTGATAATACACAAAGAACAAGTTAAGTTTATAGGACAATACACTTACTCTAAAGATAAAAGCTTAAATAGCTACTATAGTTTATCAAACTGCACAGTGTTGGTCAAAGTATATAAATTTCCAGCTATAAGATGAATAAGTTCTCAGGATCTAATGTATAGCATGATGGTTATAGTTAACAGTACTAGATTGTATACAGTATTACCATAATAACCCTTCAAATCAATGTCTAGGGTGCACAGCACTGTGTACTTGTCTTTTTTTTTAATTTCTTTATTGATTAAGGTATTACATATGTGTCCTTATCCCCCTGTTCTTGTCTTTTTATCATTCAGTTGTAAGAGTAAACAGAGAATGTATATTCAGACTGTCTGTTCTCCTGTAGTATTCAATTAGAATACCTACACCTGGAATTAGGCCATGATGCAGAATTATCCTCCTACAAAATACCTGTTTGCTCCTATTTCTAATCTGGAAAGATCCAGATAAACCTGCCCCTATAACTCTCCAATGCATGCATTCTGTACAAAGAAGGAGAGCCTGAATTACAATTACGTACCTGGTCTGATAGAATGATAAGCACTTACTCCCAAAGGCCTGACGTGTTTCTTTTCAGTTTGGTTGTGTAGCTTTCCTTTATGGAAATCAGAGAGTGAGAGAAGTCTTATTTCTTTCTTTGTGTGTGTGTGTGTGTGTGTGTGTGTGTGTGTTTAAATGAACTTCTTAGAAAAGTGTATTATCACACCCTCAACACAACTGAAAACGGAACTGAGGAGAAGGTTTGCCCAAAGCCACGAGGAGCTGTGGCTCAGGGCTGAGAACTCGAGAGGGAAGTGTGGCCAGAACACATGCAGTTTCCTGTTAGCCGGGCCTTGTAGCTAATGAATGTCATATCTGAAAATAACAGGTGACAAGCAGCATCTTTATGTGGGTCTTAAACAGGTGGCACTGTGAGGGGAGCATTTTGTAGGGGGCAGTTCTGCATAATGGTGTAATTCCAGGCGTAGTCTTTCTAACAGAACCCCACAGAACCGACAGCCTGAATGCCCGTAATGCACATTCTCTGTGGCAGCAGCATGTTTCATCCAAACTGCTGAATAAAAGAGGCCATTTTATTTTGTAATTCTGATTTATTTGCCATCTGTGGAGAGTGGAGCTGTCCTTCCAATATCTGAAATAGAACGTGTTTATTGTTCCCCAGCTCTGTGTGGTGTCCCTGGCATTATTTAGGACTCTCATCGGTTTACACTGTGAGGACGTGATGCTACAACTCGTTTTGAGGTGAGTGGCCATCTTTTGTTCCCTTTAAAGAAAAACTCACTCTATACTCTTGCTGTTATATATTTCTTTGGTAACATAAGCTAAATAGGGTCTGTGCGTCGAAGAAAGGAAATCATCAAGACCAATCAATTTAATTTCTGCACTGTTTCCCAAGGTTAATTTTAATTTTATTGTTAAAAGTTTTCAGGGGGCCAAATACATCATGTTACAAATATGCTCCTGCAAAGGAAAGGTAGGATGTTTGGAAATTTTCAGAATTGTTATAAAAGCTTTTCTGAGGTGTGGCTGAATGTCTTTTTCATAAACAAGAGGACCTGTGTTATTTTAGGGGGAAAAAAACCCAAACTTTTCTAAATATGAAATGTTGTTGCTATATAGTTCCTGTGACTATTACTTTGGCAATAGTACAAATACAACGTGCACTCTAACCTGTATGTATGTTCCAATTAAATTCAGTAAATATTTAATGAATACTTTCTGTGTACAGTTCAGAAGGGAGTAAGGTGTGGAGCAGATGAGTTGGAAGGACTTACTTATATACAAGGTAAAAAGGTGTGTCCTTCAGGGGCACCGGTGGGAAGGGTTTATCAGGGGCTGGTATTTGATGCCAGGTGTTGGGAGTCAGAGGGGACTGCTATTAAGACAACATTAATTTGGTCATTTGGCAAGGGCATTCAGGAACCCTATCTTGGCCCAGGTCTGCCTCTCCTTCTGGGGTCCCCAAGGGCAGCAGCTGCTTCTGTAAAGGAAGAAAGGGAGGTTTGCTGGAGTCTGCACTCCATACTTCCCTCTGGTGCTGTGGAAAAGCCACCAGGTCATGGGTATGTCCTCCACCTCACCCCTCCTTACAGCGATTCCCCACCCTTCCTATGATCCCTCTCTGGGAATAGGGTGGAAGAAGCCAGAGCAGAGGGGGAGGAGGAGACCTGGTCTGCCCCTGGCCCCCCGTGGTCTTTGATACAATGTAGGCACAATGGGAGATGGCATTCCAAGTGCATGTACCAGCATTTCCAAGGAGGTGGTTCTTTGGAAAAGGAAGGGGATGGGAGTGTCATCATGGGGACAGCAGCATGGCATCGCTCCAGAGCTAGTTAGAAACGCACATTCTTGGCTTTCTTCCAGAGGGGCTGGCTCCGACAATTGGGAGTGGGCATGTTTTACAAACTCTCCAGGGTATTCTGATGACTGGCTAGCCACTGGCTGAAGGAGCGGTGCTGTGTAGCTGTAGCACCTGCAAAAGTGAATGATAAAAAACAGGCAGGAAGGTTGGTGGTGCATCGTGGTGGAGGCTTTCAGAGTTATCCCGTTATGGGAGAATATCACCCATTCATTTTCTATGTTTAAAAAGAGTTTCGGACTTTTTAATGGTTTAGATCAGGTCATCAACAACCACTCTTGAGGCATTAGCAAAGAACAAATCCTATCAGGAGTGAATGCCCGGGGTCATCCGGGTAGGGCATTAGTTATCTGTTCCAGAAGGATTCCTTAGCTGCCCATCAAATCTCTACTGATATGACAGAATGTATTAGCAACTCTGGCTGAAATCCGTCAGAGCAGCTTGTTAAAGCCTTTTCTATTCCCCAAAACCAGACTTTGCTTCCAACAAGGGTAAAGCCTGATTATATCTAAATGTTAAACTCTCCAATACTGCTTCACTGAGGCATGAAAAGCAGGTGTCTCTTTTAGTGTACCTGGATGCCTAGCCCCGCCCTGGAGGGGCGGAGCTTTCCCATACTGGGCCACCTGGCTAGCTGAGCCAGGCAGTGGAAGCTGGCTGTCTGCTTTTACAAGGTGGCCTCTCCTCACCTTTTGTCTGCTTACGAAGTGGTGTTTGCTAAAAACTGTCCTTAGAGAAGGTATTAGTTAGGCTTGTTGTTGTTGAAACGCAGATCTGTACCTTATGACTGTGAAGTATTAATTAGCTCATGGTTGAAATATGTATTGATACATGCTCACATCAGGACTAGTTATTTCCGGGTAAGGAATTATTAGGAGAGTGCATGAATAGAATAATGGAAAAAATCCCAACAAAGCCATCCTAGGCTTTCTTCTTTGTTTCTTTGACGATGACAATGATGATGATGATGATGATGATGAAGGTTGCCTTTTATTGAATGCTTTATTTGTAATTCTGCTGCACTGCCTGGGGGAATCCATGAGAAGAGCAAATAGAGGACTTACCCAGAAGTCGGGCAAGTAGGAGACACCTGGGCATCTTCTACTTCCTGGTCTCTGCCCTCTCTGCCCTCTGAACTACTGATTTCCCCCCACATTTGAAATTATTTATAATTGTGGGAAATGCACATAACAATTCCCCACTTAACTATTTGTAGGTATACTGTTCAATGGTACTAAGTACATTCACATCATTGTGCAACTATCACCACCATCCACCTCAGAACTGTTTTCACCTTGCAAAAGTAACACTGTAATTATTAAACAGTAACTCCCCATTTCTCCCTCTCATAGCCCCTGGCAACCACTGTTCTACTTTCTGACTATGAATTTGACTGCTCTAGGTACCTCATATAAGTATAATCAATAGTGTTTGCCTTGTTGTACCTGACTTATGTCTGTAAGGTTCATCCATGTTGTACCATGTCCAATTTTTCTCCTTTTTAAGGCTGAATACAGTCCTATGGTTTATACCATTTTTTAATTAATCCATCTGTTGATGGGCACTGTGGATTGCTTCCAGTTTTTTTATTACTGTGAGTAATGCTACTATGGATGTACAAACATCTCTTTAAGACCCTGCTAGCAGTTGTTTAGGTATATGCCTAGAAGTGGAATTGCTAGATCATATGTTAATTCTACTTTAACTTAAAAAAAATTATTTTCTATAACAGCTGCACCATTTTACATGCCTACCAAAATATGGATTTCTCCATATCCTCACCAACATATGTTATTTTAAGAAAATAGTTTTAATCAAACAAAAATGACAAGCAGATTTGAGAAAGAACGAACTCTTAGAAACAAAAACTGTAATTATTAAAATGAAGAAAGCTGAGTGTTTGGGATAAATAGCATTTAAGATACAGATTAAGAGAGACTTAATGATTGAGGAAGATATTGAGTTTGCAGCAGAAAGAGATATAAAGAGATAAAAAAAAAATATGAAAACAAGGCTATGAACAGTGCAGGCAAGAATCCAGCTGGGGCCCCGGAGTGGGAGTGAACTGCTGATTTGACTAGACCTGTTCTGGTTTTGTAATTTGTTGCCTCATAAGGTTTTTGGAAGGATCATCTGTGGTGATATCTGTAAAAATGTGTTGAAATGTTATAAGGTATTGTACAAATTTAAGGAAGTGGAATTTTCTAAAAAAAAAAAAATAAATGCATTTTATACTAATGAAAACAATGTCTCTTCTGATTTAGAATCTATACCAAAAACAAGAATAATGAAAAGCCCTTATTCTGTTATTCATTTAAACTTTATTTTAAGGAACATAAAAAACAGGTTTGTAATCCATCCTTTTGTTGTTGTCTTTGCTGTCACTCAAGTATACACGATGAATTTGTAGATCTGGGAGGCAACAGAGTAGTGAAGATGAAGTGAATCCTCTTAATGGAGTTATTTGTTAAGTGATAAATAAATAATAACTAGTCATTGATTTCGTTGTAATCCAAACACTCTTAAATATTGACATCTCAAAGTGACAATCCAATTGCAACTGATATCCTTCTTTCAGTTAGCAAAATATCAGAAAAGCACATTGAAATAAGATACTCCCCAAAGAGAGGCTATTTTAGTGAGCAGAAAACCGAGGAGCAATTATCCATCTCCATGGATGTGACATGTGATAGGCCAAAGGCAGGCAGAAGTGCTGAGGAGCAGTGAAAGGAGAGATCACTCCCAGGTTTCTGGTGCTTCCCAGTTTAGGCAGAATTTAACTGCTTAATCTTCCGGATGCCATTGATGAATGTTCTGGGTAGGGTGTGTGTGTGTGTGTGTTTTTTTTCGTTCCCCTCCCCCCCCCACCCCCAGAAGTGCTGGTCCATTGTCAGCTTTATGAACTGCATTGCCTGTTGTGTTCAGATAGAGGCTGTTTTGTTTAAAAAGCAGCTGTGTGTGCACTTGAGGAACATTTCCATCTAGCACAAGAGTTAGGTGTCTGGAGAGAGGATTGGGGGGAATGCCAGCCAGCCTGGGACAAATAGGAGAAATGTGGCCATACTATCTTTGAAAATGGAACGATAGTTTTTTGAATTCGTTAACGTTGCTTTCTAAATGTTTGTCTAGTGATCTGTTATTCAGGTCATCGTCATCTTCCCACAAGAAGCACCTTGTTTATGTCATTGTATTGCTACTGTTTTTTTTGTTTGTTTTTTTTTAAATATGTTTTATTGATTTTGTACAGAGAGGAAGGGAGAGAGATAGAGAGTTAGAAACATCGATGAGAGAGAGTCATCGATCAGCTGCCTCTTGCACACCCCCTACTGGGGATATGCCCGCAACCAAGGTACATGCCCTTGACCGGAATCGAACCCGGGACCTTTTAGTCCCCAAGCTGACGCTCTATCCATTGAGCCAAACCGGTTTCGGCGTTTTGTTTGTTTTTATTGTCAATGGAGCAATAGGCAGTATATGTGCTTTGATAATTGACTGGTTGTCATTGAATTGTTTCAGAAGTGATGCTGACTTGTTTTAATGAGTGATACCCAGGAAAAGAGAAAATAGACAAGGGGTTCGGAGAGTTGGGGAAAAAGTAAAAAGAGGGAGGACAGTATGAACAATATATATATTTTCCCACTGTGTTGTGGGATGGCTTTGAGTAATCTGGACTCCTAAAATCAGATATTTATTATTTTGTGATTATATTTATGACTTTCTGAATTTAAATAGGACTCCTAAACAAAATCAGTGGAGTAAAAATGAAAAGATAGTTTATGAGAAATACTTATACTGAATTCCTCAGTGACTTTTCTACCAACAGCTACTTCATTTTGATATTTGACATTTGTACTGTTTCTTTTTTTAAATTAAAGTATAGTTGGCATACAATATTATATTAGTTTCAGGTGTACAACATAGCGATTCAACATTTTATATCTTATGATGTGATCACCACATTAGCAACCATCTGTCACTGTTCAAAGTTACTATTATTGTCTTCCCCTTCACCTTGTCACTCATGCCCACAATGCTTTCCCCTCTGGCAGCCATCAGTTTGTTCTGTGTTTCTATGAGTTTGTTATGTTTGGTTTGTTTTGACTTAAAAAAAAAAATCAAGTACAAGTGAGATTCTATGGTATTTGTCTTTCTCTGTCTGACTTACTTACCCTGTAGGTCCATCCATGTTGTTACAAATGACAGGATATCATTCTTTATTATGCCTGAATAATATTCCATTGTGAATATGTGCCACATCTTCTTTATTCATTCATTAGAGGCTCGGTGCATGAAATTTGTGCACAGGGTGGGGGTGTCCGTCAGCCCAGCCTGCATCCTCTCCAATCTGGGACCCCTCGAGGGATGTGTGATTACCCATTTAGGCCTGATCCTGATAATCCAGGACTGCTGGCTCCCAACTACTTGCCTGCCTGCCTGCCTGCCTGATTGCCTGATTGCCCTTAACCATTTCTGCCTGTCAGCCTCATTACCCCCTAACCACTCCCCATTCCAGCCTGATCAACACCTAACTGCTCCCCTGCTGGCCCGATTGCCCTTAACTGCCCTCCTGTGTCAGCCTGGTTGCCCCCAACTACCCTCCCCTGCTGTCCTGGTCACCCATAACTGCCCTCCCTTGCCAGCCAGGTCGTCCCCAACTGCCCTCCCCTGCAGGCCTGGTTGTCCCTAACTTCCCTGCCTTGCTAGCCTGGTCACCTCTAACTGCCCTCCCCTGCCAGCCTGATTGCCCCTAACTGCCCTCCCTTGCAGGCCTGGTCCCTCCCAGCTGTCCTCCCCTGCAGGCCTTGTCCCTTCCAACAGCCCTACCCTGCAGGCCTGGTCATCCCAAACTGCCCTCCCCTGCAGGCCTGATCTCCTCCAACTGCCCTCCCCTGCCAGCCCAGTCATCCCTAATTGCCTTCCCCTGCTGGCCCAATCACCCCTAACTGCCCTCCCCTGCTGGCCTGATTGCCCTTAACTGCCCTCCCCTGCAGGCCTGGTCCCTCCCAACTGCCCTCCCCTGCAGGCCTGGTCCCTCCCAACTTCCCTCTCCTGCAGGCCATCTTATGGCAGTCATCTTGTGCCCACATGGACAGCCATCTTTGACCACATGGGGCAGCCATCTTGAGTGTTGGAATGATGGTCAATTTACATATTACCTCTTTATTATATAGGGTTTATCAATGGATACCTATGTTGCTTCCCTAACTTGGTCATTGCAAATAATGCTAAAGTGAACATTAATTTTGTTTGTCTGTTTTTTTGTGTGTGTGTGTTTTTAAAAAATCTTTCTCTGTAAATGATGGAAAGGCAAAGGGTCAGTGTACAGTTTTCCTGCCCTTTCCTCTGGAATAAGTCTTCATTATAAAGACACAGTAGAAGTACTGCATTAACTATGAATTCCCTGACTTGTTGTAGACTCTCTCCTTCAACCCACAGGGGATCTTCCTTTATTTAATTTACTCAGAAGAAAATTCTTAGTTTCTACTGAAAGCATGTGTTTGCAAAGTTATAAATTCCCAATACCTCTTTATTCTAATATGATTCCAAGCTACACACTGGTAAATTTGATAAGTAGCTTTATTAGGTTTGATCCACTGTACCATTTTTAAAAAATATTTCAAACAAAGAGTAGAAATCCATATATATCAACTTAAATAATGAAATATGCTTGGTTTGAACACACTTTCTTCTTCCCCACAATGTTTCTCTAAGGGTGTCAGAAACAGTTGCTCAGATTTTCTTGTCTCCACAGTCTTAATGATACTATTATGCTTTTGATCACCAACCAAACATGTTTTGTGTGAAATGGGGCCCTCAGGGAGTCTTTGGCCACCGTATTTTCTCATAGTCACTCAGGAGAATATGGGAGAAGATCTGTACTATGCCGCAATTCCACTGTCCTCCAGTACCCACTAGGAGGCAGAGTTCCTGGGATTATATTTCAGAATTATTGAAAGAGTTCCTTTGCTGTGAGAGCACATTGTATTGAGGAGGCAAACACCAAGATAACTTACTAAATGCTACTTCTTTAGAAGTCTGTGAACATGGTGGAGGGAGAAGCTCTGTCTCAAAGTAGGTAGCCTGGAAGCCTTCCTGGAAAAGGTGACACTGAAGCTGGACTCTGTAGGACGACAAGGCATTTATCAGGCAGGGAGAGCACCTTTTGGTGAAGGTTATAGTGGGTGCAGAGGCACAGAGGCAAAGAGGGATAGGCTAGCAGCTCCATTAAGAGATGAGGAAGTTTGTGCAACTTAAATTGTGAAGGCCCTCAAATGCTCTGCACCGGGGGTTGTTCTGTCAGAAGAAAAAAGCCCTTGACAAATTTTAAGCAGGAGAGTGAACCCTGGGGACTTGTGGGATAGATGGATTGAGAATGGGGAGAGGATAGGTCATTAGTCCTGATTACGGCTTAGAAGGCGCTGGCTGGGAACGGGCATTGCGGAGACTGAATGCCACCCTCTTTGTCATTCCAGGTACCTGATCCCTTGCAACCACATGATGCTGAGTCAGAGGTGGGCTGTGAAGGAGAGAGACTGCTACTCGGTGTCTGCGGCCAAGCTGCTCGCCCTGACCCCAGTCTGCTGCTCCAGCGGGATCACCCTGACGCTTGGGAACCAAGAGAGGGATTATATCCTCTGGTCAAAGTGTACGCACGATAGTTCAGGTAGGAACTTGCTGGTGATGATCTTTAAACAAAAGGATACCGGAGAAGATGAAGAATAAGACAGTGGGCTCCATGTCTTTTATGAATGTTTCGTTGGGGGTTCTTTTCTGCGCTGTAAGGCGTTATGACACTTTATAATTAGTGTTCATTTTCATGCCCAGCTGTCACCAATTCCGTGCACCCAGACTTCTATTTTAACTAGGATTTCTAGTGTCGCCCTCAGAATCCAAATGTGGAGGAAGATGCATACCATTCTGTATTCTAAAACAAAACAGGGGCAAGCGATGTGGAGATGGAAGAGCTAAGATAGAATTAGGTCTTATTTTGGTTTCTGAAATGGCCCATTTGTGGACGCTTGCCTGTCAGTAACGTATCACCATAAAATTCGAAATTTTTGATACGTCTCATAAAACTCAAAATTTGTGATATATATAAACAGTATCTGAGTCATTTGATTGACCTACAGGAATGATGTGCTGTTTGCCAGCTGTACTGTATCTTGTACCAGTAAAATGGAAATAGTCACCTCTATCAGCCTGGCTCCCTGCAGGCAGCTGGAACGAGGGGGCGTTGTGTATTTTTAGTGGTCAGAGGGCTGTTTTAGTCCAGGAGGGTTCTGCCTGTCCTACCACCACTAGCATGTGGCTCAGTCCTGGTGTTCATTCTGGTGATCCGATCTGTATTCTGTTCATCCAGGTATATTTCTGTTAGGCCCCAGTCTGCTTGATTCAGAAGATATCAGCCTATTTGGTATAAATGTAATTTTTAGAAATTAAGGTTGTCTTACTGATTTTTGCTCTTTACATATACAGTGTATGCATGAAAATTAGTAATTTTTGTGGTAGTATAACAAGATGGATTTTAGGTATATTTTCCTGTTGGTTAAACTAATCTGGATTTCTTCTATTTTCCTGCCAAGTAATTATTTTTTAAAAACTTTTATTTGAAACTTGATGTTTTTCTTTACTAAAAATGCTACTTCACGAATGACTCTGTGGCTGATCTTGCCACAGAATTCAAACTTCAAGTTAAATGGACAATTGTGGAGTGCCTGCCACTTTCTTTCCCTGTGTTACCATATTTAATTCTTCGGAGAAGGTAGGATGCCAGGTTAGAGATGAAGAAACAAATTCAGAGAGAGGGATTGGCTTGTTCAAGGTTATCTAGCGGTAGGTCCTCTGTTTTTTCCACTGCACTGCCTCTGGGGTTCCTTACAGCAGACAAACGCTCTAATGGATGGGTGGCTACATAGATAGAGAAGTGGGTAGGTGGGAGGGGAGATAGATGATATAGTTATTGTGCAGTGGCTAAGTGCTAGGATTCTGAATCTTGGGCTCTGCTACTTTCTTGGGCAAATTGCTTAACCTTTTAAACTGTTTTCCTCGTATATAAAGTAGTGCCTGCCAGAAAGAGTTGTCCCAAGGATAAGTGCCCTTGGACATGTAAAACTTTAGAAGACTACATGGCATGTAGTAAGTGCTAAATAAATATTGCTAGTATTGTTTTTAAATGTCTTTTTATTTACAGTGGATAGGAGGTCAACACTAACCTTTTAGTAGTAGAACCATAAAAAAAAATGAATTATGTCCACCTTGATGGCCTGAAAATGTATATTCCTAAAGGTCTCATTTTGACCTGGTCTGGAGAAGATTTAGATAATGAGATGAGAAGCTTGCAAAGGTGTGGCATCAAGTGAAATAAGAGCAGGGAGTTACAGAGACACCCTGTGCTTGAGCGGTGGCTCTGCCATGGACCAGTTAGTTGGGTGGTCTTATGTCTCAGCCTCAATTTATGTATTTATTTTTTTTTTAAAAAAGATCTCTTTATTTTTAAAGTATATTTTTATGTTATTTATTTCGGAGAGGAAGGGAAGGAGAGAGATAGAAACATCAATGATGAGAGAGAATCATTGATCAGCTGCCTCTTACATGCCCCTCCTACTTTCCTACTGGGAATCGAGCCCACAACCCAGACATGTGATTGGAATCATACCCGGGACCCTTCAGTCCACAGGCGGATGCTCTGTCCACTGAGCCAAACCAGCGAGGGCTCAGCCTCAATTTCTTAATCTATAAATGCAGAAAATACTGTCTACCACATAGGTGGTTGTGAGGATTAAATTAGCACCGATAAAGCTCCTGCCACATGGGAGATGTTTAAGGGAACTGCAGAGTATATATTTTTCCTTGTTTGAGTCCTTTCCCCCTGAAGTTCCTATTTTCCAGTTATGAGGTAAAGAGTTTGAACATCAAAGGCAGAATACGGGAACACTTGAAGCATCCTTAGGTGAAAAGAACCATTTTGGTAGCGAATAGGACTTTGTCATGAAGAGCCCATTTGGTACATAGCAACCTTAATAGTTCCCAGGAAGGCAGCACAAGTCAACAGGCTTTTCTAAAACCCGGCGTTTTCTAGAGAAAATCTGCTCCCTGAATTCATGGATTACAGGCCTCCCACTTTAGAATCAAAGTAAAAATCTTTAAAATCATTACCGGCCCTGTGGCAGGTACTATATCCGATATGCTGCCTAAGTCAGTCCTCTCAGCAACCTGAGAGGTTGCCACGGTTCGCACTTATTTCTCTGAGGACTGCTGCCATCTAAGTTTTCTTTTGGAGACAGCCAGTATCTCACCGGCCACATTGGTTCGGTTTCTCCTATGAGGGTAGACTTTCTGCTCTTGTCTTTCCTTCTTAAAAATGTAAGCATTTTAAATTATTCAGAAATCATTTAACCAGGAACTATGAGAACCAAAGTAGCTGGTGGAAGAAGATCTCAGCAGTTGGATGGGTCACATACCTTCCCATTGCCTTTGTCTCCCCCCCCCCCAGGCCTCTGTCCCCACACCCCCAAGGCCCCTGTCCCCACACCCCCAAGGCCTCTGTCCCCACACCCCCAAGGCCCCTGTCCCCACACCCCCAAGGCCCCTGTCCCCACACCCCTAAGTCCCCTGTCCCCACACCCCCAAGGCCTCTGTCCCCACACCCCCAAGGCCCCTGTCCCCACACCCCCAAGGCCCCTGTCCCCACACCCCTAAGTCCCCTGTCCCCACACCCCCAAGGCCCCTGTCCCCACACCCCCAAGGCCTCTGTCCCCACACCCCCAAGGCCCCTGTCCCCACACCCCCAAGGCCCCTGTCCCCACACCCCTAAGTCCCCTGTCCCCACACCCCTAAGTCCCCTGTCCCCACACCCCCAAGGCCCCTGTCCCCACACCCCCAAGGCCTATGTCCCCTCACCTCTCCGACCTCTTTCTGCCTCCGGCAGGGCCCCCGGAGCAGCCGCTCCCCGAGGCGTCCTCCCCGTCGGCCTGCATCGTGGAGTACGGCAGGGCCCTGGACATCAGCTACCTGCAGTACCTCTGGGAGGCCCACGCCAACATCCTCCGCTGCATGCGGGACTGCCGGGTCTGGTCCGCCCTCTACGACGGAGACTCCCCGGACCCGGACACCTTCCTGCAGAGCCTGGCGGAGGAGGGCGCCCCCAGCCCCGCCTGCCCCGCGCTCAGGCTCCGGCTCCCGCAGCAGCTCCCCGCGGCGCCGGGGCCCCAGCTGCTGCCCAGGAAGGACCGGGGCCCCACGGAGCTGGAGTGGGACGACAGCTACGACACCGGCATCTCCTCGGGGGCCGAGCTGGAGAATCCGGGCCCCCCGGCGCCCATCGATCCCCCCAAGCACATCCAGGAGATGAAGAAGAACGCCATCCTGCGCTTCAAGGGGTCGTACATCGAGGAGTCGGACTTTCAGGACGACGTGATGGTGTACAGGCTGTGTGCGGAGAAGGACGCCGACGACACCGGACAGTCCCAGGAGGAGGAGCCTGCGCGGCCCCCGGCCCCGGGCCAGGCCGAGGGGCAGAGTCCCCCCACGGACAACGGCCCCCTGCCCGGCCCGCAGCCAGAGATGGACCCCCTGGAGGAGCAGCACCGGGACAGCTCGGACCCGGTTCCCAGCGTGTCCGCGGAGCCACCCCCGGAGAAGGGGCCCCGGGTGGCCCCGGAATCCTGCGCAGAGTCAGCACCCCCTGACTCCGGGGCAGAGCCCTGCGGTGCAGACCCCACGGCGGTGGACCCGGAGGGGGAAGATTTCATGGCCCGGTACGACCAGATCATTAAAGAACTGGACTCCGGCACCCAGGGCCTGATGGGGCAGAACTTCTCTGCCCAGGGACCGGACCCCTTGCTCCTCCCAGAAGAGCAAGAGGGGAAGGAAGAGAGCACAGAGGAGCAGGAGCAGGAGCAGGAGGAGGGGAGGAAGGACCTGCAGGAAGAGGAGGAGGAGGATGACTTCGACTCTCTGATGGTGGAAGCTCCTGCCGAAGAGACCGCGCCATCCCCCTTTGGGGTGAGAGAGGAGGCTGGCTGTGCCGGTCGCCGGCCCGTGAGGACTCAGAGCGCCCCGTTCACAGGTGACCGTCTTAGCTTGCTTTGTGATTTCTGCTTTTGAAAGCGCTTGTGCATATTGCCACAGGAGAGTAAGGTAGGTGGGGGTGAGGGGCATTTTTCCTAACAGAGGGTGGAAGTACTTTTGTGGAGGGTGGAGAAGGGGTGGTTTCATTTTCATTTTATTTTGTCAGTCTTGCCAGGACTGTCGTGTTTTTCTCCACCAGCAAGTTAGAGGTTAAATTTTACTGTCACCCCCATGATAGCACTAGGACTGCTGAAACCACACAAGAAATCCAGTCTCGTTATTGAATAGCCTCATTTCCTTTCGTCTAATTTATTTTCCTCCTTAGCATTTGTTTTATGTGTATTTTTAAAAAAGTACTTTCCTCCCACCCTCTATGAGTATGCTCCCTGAGGAGCCAGGTGTTGGCTTGCTGTCTGCTCTGTCCCCGCACCTGCACGCTGACCACAGCAGGTGGTTGGCACCCAGAACACTTGCTGTGGACACATCCGGGCCATTTGGTTAGTTGGGTCTTTGCCTGGGAGCTCCTTCCAGATAATCACAAACTCTTCATCCGAAAGTAGGTACAGGAGACCCACATAAACATCTCTTCTGCAGAATGGGTGTCCCAGTGATACACCCCGCCACAGGTAGACCTCATGGGAGAGGCAGTGATAGGGGAGGATCAGGTCAGTGGGTTGGGTGAGGGATTATGGCGCAGAATGTCATTAAATATTGGCCAATCACACCCAGACCTGCAAATCATGAGGCAGAGGGTTGGGCACAGAGGCAGGTTCATCAGGCTCAGGGACCCCGATGGTGTTCAGGGAGCAAGGAGAGGCCCTAAGGAGCTGGCATCACCCCGGGGCAGACAGTGGCCTTGGAGTTAGGCCTCCCAGGAATCCTGGCTCTGGTACTTTCTGCCACGTGACCACCCTTCCCCGTGAGGACTGAATGTAATGCTGGGGGGTCAGTATTAAGGTTGCTGGCAGCTCCAGCCGTCCTTCCATGACAAGTAGGGGGCAGCCTGGGAAGGAGTGACCTCTCCCGCCTCCTCCAGTCAGCCAACCCGGAGGGAGTCACATCACCTTCTGATCCAGCCAAGTAGGCTTTGGGCGGGTTCACGATCCTCCTCCAATACTTATTCTTCTGTTTACTGATGCCTACATGGGGAGAAAGATTTTAATTCCACAATTAAAAGGCTGGAGGTTCTGGTTGAGATAACATTTCAGTGTGCATGGGTTTTAATTAAAATTCAATCAGTCAGTCAATCATAAATAAAAAGGATTAAATGAGCTTAATTTCCCCAGTCATAGAGAGGAGGAGGGGAGGGAAGGCCCAGACCAACTGAAGGAGGGGCAGAGACTCAGTGCGAGGAAGGGGCAGAGGGACCGCAGGAGTCAGTGTTGCCTGAAGCAGGCCCCCTTTGCTCTCACCCAGTGGGAAATCCCAACCGTGTGGACTGTTCTCCGGGACTCAAGGGCCCCAGGCAGATGGCCAGCCTTTCCCAGAATGCCAGCCTATCAAGGGACCTCATCCCTGGGGAATATGTAAATTGAGGAAACCAAGTATAGCTTAGGGCAAAAAAAAGCTAATATAATACCTTATTAAATAACATCAATATTTTGCTATGGTACACCTGAGAGCCAACAAAACATAGTGAGTTTTTTGACACACATAGGACATTTCCCCCTTCTCTTTGTTGTTGTTGTTGTAATTTATTTAACTTTAATCTACCTAGTCAATAAAATAATCATTGCTGAACACAATCACATATTAAAACAAGTGTATTTTATTTTTACCTCTTGCTTATTTAGATGAAACATTTCAAAGAAAAACACAACAACCCCAAACACTATTGAGGTGGAATTTATTGGGTTGTTCCTCTGTCGAAACTTCTGCAATTTACTAGCTCCTCTGACTACTGAAAACTCACCGAAATGGACTGTTTTCTCCATAGAAAGACATCACGACTAGAACTAGATATACACAACTGTAACTGCAATGGCAATTTGCTCATTTATTGGCATAGGCAAAGCTCCTGGTCATTTAACTAAAACGTGCCCTTTTCGCCTTTGAAACGCATACACAACTTCAGGAAACATCTTTACTCTTCCCGCGCCTGTGAACTTTGGCCTTGTGTGCTCTGCAGTGTTAGGCTGGACATCCATCTCTGCGTAGGATCCTGGTTTCCGCTGAAATGAGTTTGCCTCTGAGTAAAATCAGTTTCCTTTTCATTTTTCTAATTGATTTTGTTAGAGACCTTTATGTGGCAGGTCTTATGCTAGGTACTAAACACACAAAAATGAAGGAGTTTGTGGACTTTTAGAGGAGACATCAACAAAGAACTGAGCTCCCTTAGTGAGAAATGCATTGTCAGTCGCTGTATGCCAAGTCCTACGGGGGCCCAGGGCAGGGAGCGGGGAAGGCTTCTCGGAGGGCCACTGCAGTGAATGGAACCAGGTAAAGGTGCCTGAGAACCACAGTCCAGGCAGCAGACACAACAGGCAGAAGGCAGATGAGACCGACAGCGCATATAGTGTGAACGTGCGGGTGTGCAGGGTAGAGAACGTGTGCATGAGAGAGGAGACAAGCGAGCTTGGTACATGCCAGCTCACCTTTGGGCCAAGCTGGGGACCTTGTGCTGCTGGCACTGACGGTGCCCCAGAAGTATTAGCGTTGGCAGGGATGTGATTGGAAGAGCACGGAGGGCACAGGATTGGAGAGGGCAGTGCCAGGGAGGTTGAGTAAGAGACCGTTGTGCCAGAGTTCAGAGTGCACCAAGGCTGGGCTCCAGCAATCCTATTTCTAGGGGCAGTTTCTCGGTTGTTCTCACACTTATGTGCCAAAATGGATCCTTAAAGGTGTTCACTGCAGTACTGTTTATAATGGAAAAAGGCCAGACACATCCTGCTGTCTGCTGGTAGGAGACTGTTTTACTAAAGCGACTCCTATGGCAACATGGTCTGCATGGCCCTGAGAGAGGTGAGGCAGCTCTGTATGTGCTGACATGGCACAGGCTCTGGGGTATATTACTAAGTGGAAGAGCAAGGTTCAGAGCAAGGTGTAGAGAATGTCATCATCAAAAATACATATACTCACATGCACACACACACACACACACACACACGTACCCACACTCACATAACTGGGAGACATGATATAGTGTTGGAAAGAGATGGTTGGTCTGAACTGAAGCAGACTCTTCCATTTACCTTCTGTGTACACTTGGCATTTTGCCTCACCTTTCAATGGGGATACATAATAAACATACTTCATAGAGTATAAGTTTGTAAATAAGTTGATACAAGATAAGTGCTTAGAACTCTGCCTAGCACGTAGTGATTAATGTCTTAAATAAAAATTCAATTACTAAATTATAGACATAAAACATTTCTTGAAGAAAACACTAGAATGTTAAAGGGAATTGCCTCCAGGTGGAGGCCTGTTGTTTATTTTATACTCCTAAACTGTTTGAAGAAAACACATTTTTAAAATCATTTTGATCTCTATGAAAATAGAAAAACTTCCCCTGAAGTCTGGACAGGAAGGGATGAACCTGTGACTGACCTCAGGCAGCGCAGGCAGGGCTGGGGGGTGAAGGGCCACATTCAGGAAATATTTCCAACGTGGGATGGGCAGAGCTGGCACAGAATTGATGGCAGCTCCATTCATTGGAGTCAGGAAATATAGGATTGTGTGAGGGTCGGGGGGGGGGTGTCATATTGAGGCAGGGGAAGGGGCACTTGAGGACAGGGGAGTGAGTGACAGGAAAGGGCAGTAGAGATTGCCTTAGTTGTTATGAAAAATTACACATCTTATGGCTGTGGAGTTTGTCTGTCCTTCTAGAAGAAGAGGGGGTGAACTCTGGATGGCAAACCCAATTTGAAAGCAACTTGATGGGGTTGCATCCAGAACCTCGGAAATGTCACCCGTCACTCTTCCTCGGGCGTCACCCCCATTCACGCTTGTGCTTTCTGAATTGCAGCTGTTTTCTGCTGTTCAGCTGCTTACCAGTTTCCCCTGGCAACTGCTTTTAAAGGGCTAGAAATCAACTAAGATAAAACAGGAATTTGGAAGGGTTTAATGTCTATTTCTTATTGCACGTGGCTAAGAAGTTGTAATTCATGTCATTAGTGGCTCATAATGACCATCTTCTGGCTTTGACCTAATGTTCTGTCATGCAGGTAATACAGGGATGGCGTGCTCCTAGGGTGTGACTGCGCTGGGTTTTCTCTCTGCCCTGGCAGCAGTGTTGGCAGCAGTTTTCTCTGTGCCCTGGTCACTGCATGGCCACCTACCTTCATGTCTGTGGGATGACCGGCTGAGGCCAAGTGCCGCCTGGGACGTGCCAGGGAAACAGAGGGTTCACATTAAGTCCATGTGTGTTACCAGAGACTCTCCCCACCTACACATGGTTTAATTCACCTGTCTGCTCCCTCTGTAGGAAGCAGATGCGGAGCCTGGCCCTGTACGGGGGTGGGCAAGAGGGGGTGTGAAAAACTGGGTCCGGGTTGAGGAGGGTGAGGACAGCAGCCTCTTGTGGATCTTACCTGGAAAGCTAGAATTGCATTGTGATGCCTGAGGACATTTCTGGGGTTCTTTTTCTTTAAAAAAAATATATTAAAAAAAAATATATATATTATTGATTTTTTTACAAAGAAGAAGGGAGAGGTATAGAAAGTTAGAAATATCATGAGAGAGAAACATCGATCAGCTGCCTCCTGCACACCCCTTACTGGGAATGTACCTGCAACCAAAGTACATGCCCTTGACCAGAATCAAACCTGGGACGTTTAAGTCCACAGGCCATCGCTCTATCCACTGAGCCAAACTGGTATCGGCCGTTTCTGGGGTTCTTGATGGAAGTCCATTAAGATGCTTCAAATTGGGGTTTCAACCCAGAGTCCTTGAATAGTTTGGCAAACATTGCCAGGGTTGTTTTGAAAGCAAGTGCTCTCCAAAGGCTCGCTGTGTGAAAGGTCCATCGACCTTTTGGGTCATCGACTGTGACTGAGGAGCTCAACTCCCATCCCAAGGCTAAGTTCAGTTCAGGAGGGGATGGCGCCTTCTCTGTGTTTTGAGCTCCTTAGAGACATGCTTTGTGCTCCTGGCAGCGGAATTATTGCCCTGGTCCTCGTCCGCCTAGGAAAGAGGTGTTAGGTGCTCTCATTTCTCACCGCCACGGCTTCTGAACAAAGCTTCATGTGGGGAAGTTAAACTCATATTAATGTTGGTTACGTCTTCATAAGGTACGTTTATCCATCAGAGGATATGTGCTTTGTTATAAAGATGCTATGGTTTAGTGGCATCATCAATAGCTCCACTGAGAGAAATACAAAATTCTCATTGATTTTGCTTAATGGACCACTTTTATGGTAAAACTAGGAAATATCTTCCGGTAATTTTAATACTGCCAGATTAATTTTCTGGATTTTTTTCCTGTCTTCAGTGAACTCAAAGTACGTTAATTTTCTGGTGACCCAATTAGTTGAAGCTCCTGCTTTCTTAATTTTCTTAGGAACTGCTTTTTAATGAAATATGGATTTTCTTTTTTTAAGGAAGCTATGACATACCAGACTGTATCTGCCCAGGTGAAGTCCTTTCTCTCCTCCCTTCCTCCCATCTGAAAATTGAAGGCTGGTTACCAAGTTGCTCGGGGCTACCAGCCTCATTCACCTTGTCTTTCCTGGTCCTTCCGAACTTTGACATTAGTTCTCACAGTGCTTGTTGGGAACAGACTGCCCCTGTTCACAATGTAATTGTCTGATAAAAGTTCATACGTGTTTGCTATTCTTTAATAGCACAAAGATTTTTTTTGTTTCCCAAACTGTGGCCTCTCGTGTTTTCATGGAGCCCTACAACCTGCAGGGTCATGAGGTGAAAACATCATGGTTTTGAGCATTGGCAGCACCAAGTACGGAAAGAGTGTGGGAAAGTATATCTTAAGTTTAAACAGTAAATGATCTGTCAAGGTCTATGATCGTTTCCCAAGTGTTAAAAGTACTCATGGAATCGCGATAGTAGCTCCCATGCCCATTTGCCTGCTCTCCTTGTGACGGTGGTTGGTTGTGTGCATGAGTTTTAGGCAGGAGGAGACCCAGCTGCCTTTCCCGGGTCTGCATGGGACTCGCACCTGGTGGGCCTGTGGTTTAGGAGCTGTGGCCCCGGTGGCTGCCCTGTGCCCGCCAACCCTGAAGCCTGTGTCCCTCCCGCAGGCCCGTTCATCAGTGTGGTCCTGTCGAAGCTGGAGAACATGCTGGAGAACTCTTTGCACGTTAATTTGCTGCTTATCGGGATCATTACGCAGCTGGCCAGCTACCCGCAGCCACTGCTGCGCTCCTTCCTGCTCAACACCAACATGGTCTTCCAGCCCAGCGTGCGATCTCTCTACCAGGTAAGTTGGCTGAGCCACACCCACACCTGCTGATTTTACGGGTGCTGATGAGCAGGCTCCCCCTCTCCTTCCCGTTATTTTGTGGGTTGTTTTGTTGTTGTTGTTTGTTTGTTTTTAATTCCTCTGTTCTCATTCATTTGCTCTCCTTCCTCATTTTGTTTTGCTAGTTGTGTGTAGATTATTCTAGCAAACAGCACAACTTCATTTAGTTTGATGTTCAGAGGACATCCAGCCAAAACACCCTGACAGGTCAGTTAGGATTGAGCAAATACCTAACACAGTGATCTGCAAACCATGGCTCTCGAGCCACATGTGGCTCTTGGGCCTCTTGAGTGTGGCTCTTCCATAAAATACCACAGCCTGGGTGAGTCTATTTTGAAGAAGTGGCATTAGAAGAAGTTTAAGTTTTAAAAATATGGCTCTCAAAAGAAATTTCAATCGTTGTACTGTTGATATTTGGCTCTGTTGACTAATGAGTTTGCCGACCACTGACCTAACAGAACGGTTCCTGCCCAAAGGGCTGCCCCTGAGAGAGAGATTGAACACGAGGGCTGGAATTCCATGTGAAGCATTAACATCTTTCATGTCCTTTGACAGGTGCTAGCATCTGTGAAAAACAAGATCGAACAGTTTGCTTCTATGGAGAGAGACTTCCCAGGGCTCCTCATACAAGCCCAGCAATACCTGCTCTTCCGAGTGGACATGTCCGACGTGACAGCTGAGTCACTACCCAAAGGTGAGCCGGACTTTTCCCCTGCATCTCCCCGCCCTCCTCCTCCTGCTCCTCCTCCTCCTCCTCCTCCTCCTCCTCCTCCTCCTTTTCTTTCTCCTCCTCCTCCTCCATTTCCCAGCCTCCCCATCTGGGTTCAAAGATGCTGCATAGACCCGTGGGCTCTAAAGCATCTAAATTGTATTTTACTTTTTACGAAACTGCGAGGAGTTTCCTGTTAGTGTTCTTAAGCCTAAAGAAAGGTCTGCCGGCCCACACCCGGCCCATTGGCCGTTTGGAGGGTCTAGCGGGCATGTGCTTCCACAGGGAAGGAGGGATGTGTGGGTTGTCAGCAGCCTAGAATACATAACTTGGTGCCTCCTGCCGGGAGGCACTCCCTGCGCACCCTGAGCCACGTCTTGGCCAGCCCTCTAGGAGGGCATTGCTCTCTTCATTATGTTTTCAGAGACTATTGGGCCCCAAATAAATGTGCTTTAGGGCTCTAGAAGATAAAAACTATTCATTTGGACTGAGAGAAGTAAAGTTTATGCTCCACTTCAAGTTCCTAAGGGTGACTTTTCATCAGCTCTTGGGGCCTCCTGGCAAGGTGGGCAGGGAGGGTGGTGGGTGAGTGCCCCACAGGAGAACTGAGGTCGCCCTGCTGGCCGGCCAGCCTGGGGAGCACCGCACTTTGCTTCGCGTAAGCCCAGGTTGGACAGATTGGACTGCTAGTTGTTCTCTAAGCTATCACTGTGGCCTGGGTGAGTGTGGACCAAGAAATGCCCTGTATTTGCCTTGGATCCAAAAAGCTGCAACACAGCATTTTCAAGACTGAGACTAGTGGTGAGAGTGGGGGTCTCATTCCTGGCTAAAGGCTTATGAGCAGAAACTGGCTCCCAGGGACAGAAATCTACCTCAGGGAAACTTTAAGGGAAGCTCTGAAGGCTGACCTTGCCTTTGTGCAGCTCTTTGGTCTTAGTCACTGGGCCTCACTAAGGCCTCAGGTTCCTTGACTCTCAAGAATTTGTTTTCCATCTCTGACTTTCTCTGTGGCTGTAGGACTCTGGGAGTAAAGAGCCCTTAGGGCATCGCAAGGCAGATTTTGCAAGAAAGGTGGGCCTTGTGCCACCGGGAGGGGGGCTTCAGGCTTTGGCCTAGCGCAGTGTTTCCCAAAGTGCGGTACTTGTACCCCCAGAGGCACAGGAAGAATTTGGTGGGGGTACACGTTGTACTGGAGTTTGGTGGGGGTACACATTGTACCGTGCTTAGCTGCGCCTAATTCTACGTTCACATGAGTACGAGGGGTACTCAGCGTTACGAAAATTATAGAAGGGGTACACATATGTCAAAAGTTTGGGAAACACTGGCCTAGAGGATAGCAGGCAGGCCATTTGTGGACGGAGAGGAGCCTGTGGGAAGGTGGACTGCAGGCCCATGTGGCCTCTGCTAGCCACCTGAACAGCTGGTCTGTTAGCCGTGTTCCCCCTGAATGGGAGGGCGTTACCACATCGCACCCTGTGAGAGAGGGTGTGTCAGCTCCTGTGCATACCAAGCCATTGCACAAACAGTGGGTTCATAGAAAGCCATTTATGAGTCAGCACAGCCACCTGGGCTGGGCTTGGCTGAGTTTGGCTTGTGGGCTGCTGTCTGCAGGTGTCTGGTGTCTGGGATGGCCTTAGTCACATGGGTGGCTGCTGGCTGGGCAATGGAGATGGCAGGGGTCTGTGTTTCTCTTCATCCAGCAGCTTACCCCTGCTGGTCAAATGTCTTACCCCGGGGCTGCAGTGAGAGCAGGAACACAGAAGCTCTTCTGAGGCTCTGGTATCCTGCATGCTATTGGCCTTAGTCCCCGGGCCAGCCCCGGTCCAAGAGCAGCAAACTCCCACCTCTTGATGGGAAGAGCTGCAAAGAGTTTGTTTCATCTTGCAGTCTACCAGGCAGGAGGGGACTTCAGTTTCCTTACATTACACTCCAGACTTGGTCTTCCTTTGTATTTCATAGTTTGTAGTGTTTTCCCAGACAGTCCATTTTTATTTTCTAACGGCACTGTGAAACGGGCAAGAAAAGAACTGTTAGGTTCATTTTCATGCAAGGAAGCTGAAAGTAGGGGCCCAGGGTAGTCAGGTGGGACCATGCGGCCCAGGTGCCTCAGACTGCCTGCTTAGTTCACGGGCTGAGGGCACACATGCTGACGGACGTCACAGGTGTGTGTTCTGGTGAAGGATGGGGTCACCCACACCCCGTGCTTTGTTCTGGCTTCAGACCACTGGCCATGGCTACCAGCTACGGGCCCAGGGGAGCTTGTTTCACATGATGCTGTCCCATTAGTCAGCTGTGGCTGACGTTTGTTCAGGTCTGTGACACTCGGGGCTTTGCCTAATGGGGCTTCTCTTGGGATCTAATTCTTTGCTTTCATGGAGTTTCTCCACATTAACTTCTCTCAGGTTAGCACAGTGGCGGCCTCTGCTCCACTTGAAAAAACCCCAGACTCCCAGGAAGGGAAGGCCCTGTCCCCTGTGCAGAGTGGGCTTCTGAGGCAGGTGCTGCCTAGGAGCGGGGTCCAGGGGCGCTGTCCCTGGGAACGGAACGTGTAATGAGGAATCCCAGGAAGGGGTCAAACGCTGGGCTTCCCATATCCGTGTCTGTGCTCCGTCTGACATTGCTGACCAGGAGCAGAGCGGTAACGATTGCTCTCCTAACTTCTGAAATCTTGCCAGGATTAGTCTTGAAAATGCTGGGTTGCAGCTTTTCCAACCCAAGGCAGCGTTTCTGAAAACCACTCCCGACCCCGGCATTGATCTGTGCCTCCCCTCCTCTGGCCTCTGTGCACGTGCTTTATGAGGGTGTCTCAGGCCCCAGCAGCCAGAGCTGCTCCGACAGGCAGGCCATCCTCCCTCAGCTCCTGGCGGCCCCGGGAGAAAAAGGGCCTCCTCATTACCTTCAAACAGCGGTAGGCTGTGTGACCGCTGCTGCAGAGCCGATGGGCTTCCCGTGTAGCCATTCCATCGCCGCCTCGTCTCTGAGGCTCAGCCCTTTCCCAGGCTTTTCATTTTCCCCTCGGATACTTTCTCAAGCACAGAGGCTGTGTTTATTTATATTCAGAGTCCTCTCTTGTGTCTAGTTTTGGGAGGGAGGTGAGGTAGGTATTGGCCCCATTTTACAGAAAAAGAAACAGACATTATATAATTTACTTGCCAGGGAGGGACCACACCTCTAGCTTTCTTGCTTTGAGTCAAAAGCCTGATGGGGTTGCGTGACCCATTGGAAGGCTGGTCCCATGCTGACAGGACAGAGCTGGGTACCCTGCCAGCCCTAGACCTCCTCACAGGGGGCCACCTGCCTTCTCTAGTGAAGACAGTTTGGAGTCTAGGATTCAAGCTGGATAAATGAGCTTTAGCAATGACACTTTTTAAATTCATGGATCAAGCTACATATATGAGCCACAAAAAACCTTTTTGGAGAAAAGAAGAGTGACTTTGAAAGAGAAAGATGTAGATCAGGAATATGAACCAGCTCCAGAAAGATCAGTGTAGGGAAGACCTGATGTTGGTCTGTTTCTTCCCTCATTCAGCCGGCAAATGTTTATTAGCTTCTACTCTGAGTAAGGAAATGTGTGGGGCCAGGAAGGACATATTGAGTAGGGGCTCAGCTCTCAGAAATCTGTGTCTCCCAGAGGAAGAAAAACGTAACAGCAATGCAGGCTACAGGGCAATGCAGGTTATTATTGGTAAATAGGCTGGGGTGGGAGGCTGATCAGGGAATTCCTCCCAGGGGCAGGAAACAGGAAGTAAAGTCAGTGGCAGCTGAATTAATGATGACACATGGCTGACACCTATCAAGAGGCCCCTGTGTACATTTTACCTATTGACTCATTTCATCCTTACAACTCTGTGGGCCTTTCACTAGTGAGGACATTACAGAGAAGTAAAGCAAGTTGCCTGATGTTCCTCAGCCAGCCGGTGGTGGAGTCTGCTCTCAGCCGCAGTATGGAGTCTCAAGGCTAGTGACAGAGATGTGGGGGTGGGGATTCCAGGTGGGGAGCCAGTGTGAGAGCAGGTCTTGGTCTGGAGTCAGTGCCCACGTGTCCCATTACCCACCGGTCCAGGACAGTGTCCTTCGTGAGCCTTGTGGGACCTGTGAAGAGATGCAGTGCTGGAGGTTGGGGTGTAGGTGCTGAGGGGATGTCTCCATGATTGGTGAGTGATGTCAGGAGTACTGTCCTCAGTGACGTCAACTCTGTGGTCCACCCTCTGATGTCAGACACGCTGTGGGCTTCTGCTGAAAGGTACCAGCAGGTTCTTTTCTAGTTCTTTATGGCACGAACTGTGATAAGCTTTAATAAAAAAGGATATTTAAAGCAGTAAAACGAAGAATTTTTTTTTAACACTGAAGATGATAGTAGTGAGATATGGAAAGTACTATAAATGTCAAGAATTTTTAGCACTGTAGTTAAGCGACACTCTTCTTAGAGTGTTAAAAATGGGACTGGAATTCTGAAAAGCAGCCAAAATAATGAAGAGCATGAATATAATGATTTATAAAGTGTAATGAGACTTTTGAGTAGGGGGCAGAAGGAGGCATAAATAACCCCTATAACTATATGAAGGCTAGAGCTGTTCAGGAATTAAATAGTCTGGAAAGTTGAACCATTTTAATTAGTGAAACTGCTTTGATATGAAAATGCAAATCACTTGAATATGTTCAAGTTTGGGCTCATTATCATCTGAGACCTACGTTACTGGAACTGAGATAGAAACCCCTGGAAACCGTCCTTAATGGGAGGCTCCCAAGCCACATGTCACCAGATGTCTTCCCAGCACCCAACTTCCTCTCCATCATTTCCAACATTTCAGTGGCTTCTCTCATCCTATCCTACACTGAAGGCTGGAGGTCCCAGTCAGAAGGGGCATGCGGGAGGGGGAGGAATGCTGTCACCATGGAACCCCAGAGGCTGGAGTATGAGCTGCAGAGCTTGCAGTGGCTGTGGCCCTGCCTCCCTCTGCAGCAGTGCTGTGTGGCCCTGCCCCCCCCTGCAGCAGTGCTGTGTGTGTGCTAAAGCTTTGCCAGCACAAGTAGGACAGTCTCCCAACAGACACCAGGAGTTTTTGGAGAGCAGGTGGAGCCCTTGGATGTCTTATTACCATCCTGGTGAGTTATGCCATCACTTGTTTGATGCAATGGAAGGAGATAACTTTTTCTGTCTTTTATTTATAATTATTTTTATTGATTTCAGAGAAGGGAAAGGGAGGGAGAGATAGAAACATCAATGAGAGAGAATCACTGGTCAGCAGGAGATGCCTTTTAACGCTTCCCTTTGCCAAGTCCTGGGCATGGGGGTCCTTGATAAACCTAAATTCTTGTCACATTCTCTGCACCATGTTCCTTATCCAGGCTTTGGCATAAAAGCCTAACATCTAATGCCTGTGCTGAAGGTTATCTGCGGTACAAGTGTGTGAGCCACCGAGGGGACAGTGCATGCTCAGGGCTGTCTTCAGGCTTCAGTCAGTCACAGAACCGGACCCACCACTCCCCACACGCCTCCTTCCCTCCACACACTTGCGAGGTTTGAGGTAAAGGGCTCTGGAGGGTCCCTGTGACCGTCTGCTTTCTGGTTTCAGATCCCCCTCAGGATGCTTCCAGGACGGGAGCTGGCAGGAGCCTTCTGGATGGTCCCCCACGAGTGCTCCAGCCCTTCCTGACCAGCAGAGCCACGGTGGCGGGGGTGCCGCCAAGCCTGCCCCTGCCGGTGAAGAACACCATGCTGGCCGCGGCCCTGTTCCCTGAGTTCCTGAAGGAACTGGCTGCCTTGGCCCAGGAGCACTCCGTTCTCTGCTACAAGATCCTGGGCGACTTTGAGGACTCCTATTGTTAGCTTTTTTTTTTTTTTTTTTTTAATGGAGGTTCTTGTTTTTTAAGGTTTTAGTGTCTTGACTGAATGTTAAATGCAAAGCTGCTTACAAAGATTTCTACTTTGATGTTTCCTGACAATACTTGATTTATGGGGAGGGGACCTCTGAGCACCTCCTCTCTCTCTCGCTGGGCCTTCCCACCCTGCGCCATACAGAATGTAAGTCTCATAAGCTGGCTGCTCCCTGGACAGGTTTTCTTTGCTCAGTTCTCCCTCAAATATTTTGGTTGTTATTCTCTCATCCCTTTGAGTTAACTCTTCTTACAGCGTAGAGCACACCAAGCGAATATTGGGGTTCAGTGACTCCTGGAAGCACCCCCTGTCAGGTCGGCTCTTCAATGGCACATGAAGAAAGCACACCCATTCCTGTGGCCTTCTGCATTTTTGGCTTCCATTTTATCAAAGGGAAGAATAAAAATGGAGCCTCCATCACGTAAGCACGTTATAATCTGTCCCTATGCATTTTATGTGCAAGACTCGCTTTCTGCTCAACACAGATTGCTTATGGTGCAGGCAAATCCATTGGTCTCGGCTGTCTGCTGGGCGGCTGATGCGGCTGAAGAGAATTTGGGAAATGTTCCTCTGCTGCTGGAGAGATTATTTGGTGTGTCACCTAACACTGAAAGTAGCCTTATCTTAGTCAGATTTGCACAAAGTGAAATATACCTATGCAAACTGTTTCGTTGGTTTTCAAGATTTTGCTCAGAAGAAAGCATGCTATCATATATAAGACAGCCATTATTATTTTTTAAAGTGTTTTATGAAAACCAGATTAATTTGTGGAGCTATTTCATAGTAGGGTTTTTTTGTTTTTTTTTGGTGGTTGTGTTTTGATATGTGTGTGGAATATGGAGGAAAAAAGATAAATGCAGCCTATAGAATCATTGCTAATTATTTAAATGTTGCTTGCTTTTCCTAATGTGTTGCACTTTGTAGAGAACCAGGAACTGTACACCTGCTTTGGGGTTTGGGATGCAAATGCAAACAGGTCGCAGGGAGCCCTGCAAAGCCAAGTGCCTGCCAGTGACTCACTGCACTCGGAATCACCGCCTGCTGAAAAATGGGGCTCACTGGAAGACCCCAGTGTGATGTGTTAGTGCCTCTCTGCTGCTTTTCAGCTCGCACCAAGAGGCATAATTATGAGAAGCCATAGTCTCCTTCAATCATCACCAAGAGTGAGAAACACACAAGATAATTGTGGGCTAAAAATGAGACCCTAAACAACGGGTATTGATGGATATTCAATTCTCCTCCTACTTGGGGCAGGTGAAAAGCACTTACAAGGATGAGCCTCCTGTGTGGAGGGAACTTGGAAACCCCAGGTCTCTGTCTCTGTGGTGTCACTGCTGAGCCCCGGGGGTAGGGGGTGGAGGAGAAGAGAAGAGTAGCGGGCAGCCACAGGTCTGGTGGCTGTGCCTCAGGAGCACTGGTTTGGTTTTAACCAGCCTCTGTGTCAGGAGGGGAGTGGAAGAAGCAATTGTATCTGAGGCCCTGCAGAGCAGCGGCCACCTTTTGTGGTCCAGGGACCTTGACTCAGCGGTGAACTGAGAGTGGCTTTTAGGCGCCAACCTTGTATTGTTTCCGAGTCTAAGCAAGCAACCAAAGACACCAATTCATTGAACGTTTCTAACTTCAAATTTGTCTGGTTTGAAAAATGGCTTGCCCAGCTATGGTGCAGCAGTTAGAACCCATGAGGCCCAGCAGATTGGCATGTAGTGGGCTTCCTGGTGCCTGCTTGCATTTGTACAACCAAGTCTCCACTGGAAAAGGGAGGGAAAGAGCAGGAGGAGGAAAGGTAAGCTTTAAGTTATTAGCCTCTCTCTTTGTTTTGCACAAGTATTTGTTTCCAGTTTGGACTTCCCAGGTACATAAAATGCTGAAGTTATATCTGGAAACTCTTCTTTAAGCTTTTAGGCTTTGTTTACATGTATCTCCATTATCTGGTGATGGTGTGGGCTCTTGGTATTTATTAAATAGGTTCTGAAGTAGACTTAGTTTACAGGAGACAGAGATGACCATGTCCGGGGTGAGAGGCAGGAAAAGAAACTCCAGTGGTTGGGTGCTGGTAGCAAATTCACATTAACCTGTTTGACATCAGAAACTGATTCATGTTTCTGAATCCACTGCAGAGTATTGTGTCCAGGGTTTTACACCATTAATTCAGAAAACTGACCTGGAAATACCTTCTGGAAAACCAGAAAACCCATTTGGTTGAGTGAAACAGCCAGGTGGGTTAGTAATGTGGTTTACAGATGGTGTGCATGTGCCAGGGGAAAACTGAAGAACTGAGGCTGTAAGTAGAAGAGCATATCCTAGGGGCTGGAGGAATGAACATTGATCTAGGTTGATAGGAAGATACTGTGCAGGAAGTGGGTGAGGCTGGGAAAAGTCCTGGTAATGAAGTAAAATATTCTAGTCACATAGAAATATTTTCTGTAATAAGTTTGGGGGGAAATTAAAGATATCTGGCATGCTCTAAAACATGGCTCAAGAGTTGAGATACTTTTCCATCTGGACAGACTGGCACGTCCAACACTGCGCTACTTGTGGAATAAGTGGGCAGAGCCTTGGGGGAAGCCCCTGACTGGTGTCATGGTGTCCTGGGCCAACGGAGGCCAGTCAGGGATTCCTGGAACATCAGAGCATTATCCTCCACTCATAAGTAGGGCCTGAGGTTCAGTTCAGGTGAAGTGAGTTTTGTGGTAAATGACAGGAAGGAGATATTTAAAATTGATTTTTCAAAAGGGCCAAGGAAATGTTCTTAAATTTTTAAACAAAGAAATTTTGAGTTTAGCTCGAATACAATTTGGGGGGAGGGAGCAAATGACAATTTATTAGCCATTAAGTTGTCAGCCATGATGCTGGAGTAAGCAGTTAGCGGTGGGATTTTCTTTATCAATGGATTCTTTCTTCTCCTGGTATTGAGGGGAATTATAAAACTGTCCCCCTTTCTCTTAGTATTACAGAGGTGGGCAAAAGTAGTTTTATATTGTCATACAAATAATAAATAACTGAAGAATAAACTCCGATTCATGTACTCACAACTGTAAACCCACTTTTGCCCACCCTGTGCTTTGGAAAAGGCTTTGCTGTTTTGGGGTTGGCACTGCATCTGTCACCTGGAGAGAGGAGGCATTCAGTCGTCTAGGGCCCTCAGGACACCTCTTCCATCGCAAGTGGCTTTCCTGTGGTAACGTGGTAGTCAGGAGGGCGTCCCATTAGGAATAGAATCTGGAAGCATAGTATGTGTTTGCAATGCATTCTGAATTGGAGGGGTTTGCAATGCATTCTGAATCGGATCACTGTGTCTAGGTTGCTTTCATGAGGAAGGGCTGTCCCAGCAGGGGTGAGGCATGCCACTGGTGTGATGTTAAATGTCCACAGTTTCCCCTCCAGTTCTCATTTAAGGGCAGTTTGATTTAATTGCTAATTACCTGCCCTGTGTTTACTGAACTGGCAGGCATGCTTGCTATTTTTATGAAACAGCTTACTGTAGGAAGGCTATTACTGAATGTGCCACTTCCAGTCCTTGGCCCAAGTCAGTGTAATTCGTGGCTTGCTGCAAATCTCAGCTGGCTTTGCAGTACTGGCTCTTCCTGGAAACAGCGGTCCTCTGGTCGCTGACGCCACATCAGCTTTAAGTCGCTAAGTAGATATTCTTAGGCCCCTTCCTGCTGCTGCCATCATTCTATACATCACACAACACAAATTTCCCACCAAATAACAGCTTAAAACAGAGCACTGTCAAGCCAGTTTACACTCCATCCTTAAATTACATCATTGAGGAAATACTTAAAAGAGAATGGAGTTAGCTTTTTATTTTTTTTGTTTGAATAACCATCATAAACCTAATGCCTTTTTTTTTTTTTTTTTTAATAAAGAAGGCCTGGAAGACGAAGTGTTGTTTTCAGGATAATTTTGCCTCAGTAAATCCTTTCCACGTCCCAGCATTTATTGGGCCATTACTTGTTCTGAGGACAGATTATCCAGGCAGCTCATTAACTGGATAAACGGGCTTTAGTGAAAGATTTTCGGTGAGGTCCGGTAGGGAAAACACAGGCACGCAGTGGGAAGATGCCCTCAGTTCTTCGGCCTCTGCACTTGGGATCTGAAGTGAATAGTGATTTTAGGTGGGGACTGACCCTTCCTGACCTGCTGGGTCATTGAGTTTTGTTCCAGTTTTACATGTGAGCTGACCTAACTCGCTGTCACACAAGCAGTAAGGCTGCTCGCAGGTCCTGCCAGCACAAGTTCGGCATGTCCTACAGGCACCTTTGGGGGCACTTAGGTGTCCTATGTCATTGCAGAGCCTGGCACGAGTGATGGAAGCTCTTAGGCCAGATTATAAATTTCCTGGACTGACACTGCAGAAGTCTGTGCTGCTTAGCGCATCAGCGGACTTTTCACTGGCACAAGTCTACACAAGGCCCACCTATAACTCGCCCCTTTTTGCCCTGGAGACATTTTGAGAGAGGGAATTTGGTCCTGACGATGTTACTTAATTGATTTCTGCTAAGTTGTTTGAGGAAGGCAGGCAGTGAGATTGGATTTAAGTCAGATGCTTTGCATCTCACAATCGGGGGTCAGCTCTCTCAAATAATCCCCGGGCCCATTTGTCTCCAATCTGCTGAAGAAGCATGGCAGCCGTTTCCACACTGCTTCTGTAATGAGGAATATGGCCTCTCTGAGAGATTGTGTTTTTCACCCAAAGAGTCACCTTGCAGAATCCTTGAAATAATACAGCTAAATGCAACAGAAATGAAAAAACAAACAAACAAAAAAACAAATTGTGGGTGGTGGCCATAACCTGTATATTGAATTAACCAGCTAACTCAAAGCCCCAAGAGGATGTTACTTTCAAAAAATTTCATGGCCTTCTTACAATCTTCTTATTGTAAAGATTAGCAATAATTACAAAAAAGAGGGTGGTGTGTGAAGCTCAGGTAACGCATCCTTGGCATAAATAATGATCGACTTGTTTTTTCCTGGGCTACTTACACCTTGACAGGTAGGAACAGTTCACCTTGAGGCACACACCTGCAGTCAGGAAGCTCCTTCCTAGACCAAGGGATCCAGAGTTTACAAGCCGAGTAAGTGGGCACCAACTTCTCATACAAAGGTGCCCCACAAAAAATTTTGTTTTATAAATTAATGACTTTTACTAAGTACTTATTCTGTGCCAGGGAGCATGGTGAGTCCTGAGGCTGACATTCCTCCCCTCCCACCATAACCAACCAAGCAACCTCCTCAAGCAACACAGCACATGGCCTGCACCTGGCCAGGCTGACCTGGGCGGCAGCCTGTTTTCTGCCGCATTCCCCTCCCAGCTTACAGGTGTGCATTCCAATGACAGATGGCAGTGGCTTCACTTGTGGCACCAACTCATACATTTTAATGAGATTTGCCCCTAAATAGCAGACAGACAGACTAAATCACACTCTTGCGAAGTCGTATTGTATTTAAAACTGTATTCGCTGAGGTCTACTGGGAGCAGAGCCGGATTTCGTGGATTTCTTAGGGTGCTACGTGAACATACCTTCTGAATATCTAGTCAGGTTCTTACAGGAAGTAAGATACCTGAGCTGTGGTTTGATTTTTCTTTTTCTCATAAGCAGTTACAACCACACAACAGTCTGATTTTTAGGATTTCAGCAGTGGGATTCCAGGACCACAGTCAGCTTGGTGAAGCTCGAGTGAGTTGAAGACGGCATGTTTCTCTGAGAACGGTCAGTCCATAGTGCAGTGTACACTTCAAGTAAGAGTTTAAACCAGCCCTTGATTTCCAATGGTTTGGAAAGCTCCTCCAGTGCATTCTGTAAAGTTTGATGACTAAGAAGCCAGACTTTGCAAAAATAATGTTCCTGCCAGATTCCAATCTCACAATGTCCTTACCTGTTTGAAATTAATTCTGAGACTTGTGGGAAGAGAGAGAATGGACTTGCTTTTCTCTCTGGAAAAGAGGTTCAATGGTGATACTTTACTTTTAGGCCCAGTGGTTGTCAGTATTGGGACAGAATGGGGGACACATAGCTTCTTGGGGAGTATAACATATTCTAATTCTAAATTAGCCAGAGGATCGCTTCTCTCATTACCTGGTTAGGAAGTCCTGCATCTGCGACCATCACTGCTAACTGGTGATGGGGAAGGTCCACTTTTCTCCACCGCCACGGGAGCACCATTCATGCGGAAATGTTTATATTAATACTTTTCTTTGTAGGCTAAAGAGTTCAGGGTAAAACTAGGGCTTCCAAAATGTTTCCTCTCTCATGTATGTCACAATTTGACATGTGTTTTTAAAAACACCACTTACAAAACAGGCCTTTAAGCATGGTGAGTCAGAGGTAAAAAGGCATAAAATGGGCAAAGGGGCGCCCAGTGCGATGGACAGAAAGAGTATTACTGTCACGAGAACAGCGGCAAAGGCACCCAACTGCACGGAAATGCTGTAATGGCACCACAATTACCACTAAAGGTCAAAATTTTGATTTGCCAGTTTATAATCTTATTCTTTCCGGGCAAAACAGATCAACTTAATGTTACAACTTATTATTTCTCTTTTGGCCTGAGGGGGCAGGGGAATTGTCAACTGCACAATCTTTAAAATGTTATGTTAATTTTTAATGTGATATCTCAATACATATTTTATTCATTAAATTTATTTGAAAATTTGTTGTCTATTTTACCAAAAAGAAAAAATCCATTTATTCTCAGAGCATGGCCTCCTAGGGCACTGATTGAATGGGCTCCACTCCTACTCAGTGGATGGGTGACATCCTCCTTTCCTGCCCTCAGGAGACAAATCTAAACACACTGTCTACACTGTCAATGGATTTATCTTGCTGTCTTCCTCTTTCCTCTTCATCAACCTCTTTTTAGGTCTAAAATACGGCACCCAGATTCTGGTCTCTTTCAATCACTGATGGCCCTTAGGATGTGCTCAGAAATATTTGCTGAAATAACTGCATAATGAACTTTTTCTTAGGTAACAGTATCAGAAACAGCATGTTTCATTTAGCTCAGAATTATTAAGCACTAGAATGTGCTTAATTAACCACCTTTGCAGCTATGATGGAACCGTTTTGATGTCAGTGATGCGAACAGGTGAGGCTGCTGGCCTGTGGAGGTGGCACCCAGGGATTGGGGGATGCCGGCGCATCAAGCTCACTCTCGGACGTTGGGTTCGGAGGCTCTGGCTCTGTGTCGTGGCTCCATTCTCTCCCTCAGGCAGAAGGAGTGAAGTACCTCATGATGACAGCTGCCTCTCCAGCATCTCCTTTATCACAGTGGGGTCTGCTCGATTGAGAGTCGCTTTTCGGACCAAGCCAATCAGTTTATTTATAGCTCTGGGGTTTCCCTTCTTCAGATCCATTACCTTTCAAGACAGAAATTGTTTTAGAGGAGAAAATATAGACTCATACCTAAACATTTTAAATGAAGGTTTGTATTTACTGAAATTTAAGTTGTTTCTTTTTGTATGAGAGAAGGAAGGCGGTGTGTGAAGATCTGAGGTGTTTTCTAGGCTCTTGTTGGAGATCCTGCCATTCTGCCTCCCACTGGAAGGGACAGAGGACTGCGTGGGCCTCCAGTGGAGGTCAGCAGCACTGACATACAGGTCTCCTTTTCCCAAGAAGGTTTAAACTCCTGTTTACTAGAAAACAAAGCCATGGAATGGTGACTCTCCCCGAGCATGTGGATGGCGGCAGGGAGGGGTACTGCACCGTGGTGCCAGGTCCACCGGCTCCACTCTCCTGCTCTGCAGGCCTGATGGGCAATAAAACCTGTGAGTATCTCCACTCAGTGCTGTGGAACGAGTCTGAAACAAAGTGTAACTTTATAGGTCTCTACAGCTGAGGCAGGAGGACAGAAGTTCCCAAGACCCAGTGTAGGCTCATTTCCTTGTCAAGAGCACTTTCCAGAGCTGAATGCCCTTGGCAAGCTGATGGATAGGTGGCTGTTATTCTGAAAGAAATACTAACCCCCAGCCCCCCTGCTGAAAAATATCTCTAGAAAATATGATTAGACTTGGGGAGGGAGGGATGCTACTCATTGTAGCTTTTCTATTTTGTCCCATGCTCAGAACACAAAATGACTTGGTTTTCAGCTATGCTTCTGTTAAGGATTTCCTCCATAATTTACAAATATTTTTTTTTCTGCTTTTCTTCCCACCTGTTAATGGCATGAAGCTAATGTGTTTCCGCCTCATGAAGCAGGGCAGACACAGCATGTTCAGAAGCCACATGCCTGGGAGGGCCGTGTACCCAGGAGCTCAAAACTTGGGTAGTGAGTCTGAGATCTACCCTTCCAACTGAAACGCCATGAAATTAAACTGCAGGGAGGATCTTCCTTTTCCCTGGGAAAAGCTGTATTTCTCTAATATTCACCTGCTTTCATCCCTTGACCTTATCCTTTAGCTCATCCCTTGAGCTAAAAGCTGACATAAATACTTAGGGAATTACTGATGAACTGCATCAGCCATTATTAGGAAGCACCTCTGGGTTGATGTTACAGGGAGCTGTGGACAGGCTCTTGGCCGTGTCCTCAGGCTGGCCCCTCCCTTCAGCTGCACGTAAAGATCCTCCTCACCCTATGGGTGGTAATTACCACTTGAGGATGTTTCTCCATCGTAGCCTGGCAGAGCTCTTCCAGGGCCTCTTGATCCTGCATCAGTTCAAGCCTCTTTTCTGAAACAATCTGTGCTGGAGTCTTCCCTCCACTCCTCCATAGTTCCTCAAACACCTGCAGGCCAGAAGTGGGGAGAGAAGTCAGCAAGCAGATGCAATGAATTCCAGCTGCGAGTGTGGCCCACACAGTGACCTGCTTCTCCTGACACATCTGGGAGGATGCTGCTCTGTGGCGGATGTGGACACACCTGGAGTCTCCCCATGCTGAGCTGCTCCCATGGAGCAGAGCAGGAGGCTACACTGCAGAGACAGGTACTCCCTACCAGCTGACTCAGCCACCAGCAGGGAGGGGTTAGAGGAGGTGTGCGATGGTTACATATAGGCTCCTGCTGACAGGAGCAGGAGGGCCAGCCCAGCTGTCTCCTGTCCATTGAATTAACTGAAATCTGTGTGGTGAAGGATGGGGCTTCACAGGAGGCAGGAGTTAACCATTGCTCTTAGATGAGGTTCAGAAAACCCAGCCTGCTTAGAGAAAATGGCCCTATAATGAAGATACAAAATGAAAAATAACTAAAAACAGAAATCATAATCCACAGGGACCTGGCCCCAAATCTGGCTGAGATGATCAATAGTTAATGTTTGTATTTTTCTACTTATCAAAGTTGGAATTTTTTTTTTTTTAAAGCATTTCCTGAGGCAGTTTTCTTCATTCCTCTCATTTTTCTAGTGAGAGCTGGAAGGGGTGGTGTCCTGTGTGTCTCATATGGCACCTCTTAATCTTGGCCTGTAGTTAGCATTGTCCACACCTAAGACCACTTGGGCCAAGGACAAACCATCCTCCCGAGAAAAAATAGCTGGTTAGTAATTAGCCCATAGGACTTGGGTCAAGAGGCAGAGTAGGTAACAGCGGTGATTGCCTTCTCCCATGCTCACATCAAAATTACAACCAAATTCTAGAACAGTTATCTAACTGAAAACCACCTGAGGACAAGCTACACAGAAGTCCTGTAAAGAGGCTGCGTGGAGAACGGTAGGAGGGGTGGGAAGGTGGAATGGGCAGGTCCCCCTATCCATGGTGTGGAGATTAAAAATCAGGAAGATTATCTCTGCTACAGAGGCCCCCCTGAGGAGCAAGGGGTCTCAGCCCAGGGCACCAGTACTGGAAAGAGAAGTCCCCACAACATGTGGCTGTGAAAAACCAGCAGAGATGCATGAGAGTGAGATGGAAGGCTGTTGGAGTACTCGCATTCCTCTTTTGAGGATCCTCGAACCGACTCATTTGCTTCCCAAATCACTTGCTCTGGGCTCTAGCACAGCGGCAGCAGCTTGAAAAGCACCAGGGACACAAGGTGAGGAGTTAAACTGATTGGCTTCAGGGCTGGTGGCAGCTCTCTCTGGAGACAGAAGTGCTGGCAGAAGCCGCTGCTCCTTTGTTGAGCCCTTCTCCCATCCTGCCAGCCTGGTACAGGTGGGTGCCAAATCTGAGCTCGCCATCAAACTAGCTAACACCATTTCACCCTGCCCTGGTGTTATATCCTCCCCACCAATTTGCTTGCCCGACCTGAGCCACTTCTAGTGGTTCCTCCACACAAGTGGCCTGCCTTAGCTTATGCTATGGACTTTCCTAAAATACCTCGAAGGTCCACAAAACCCAAACAAGCAGATTCCAGCCTGGCATTCTCTGTACCTCTTGCTAAGTGGCTCCAAGCCTGGCACAAGCGACAACTAGTCTCAACTTGCATTGTAACTCCTATCAGGTGGCCCCACGCCTGGTATAGGCCATGGCCAGCCTTGGCTTGGAACATAGCCTCAACTAAGCAGACGCAAGCCCTATACAAGTGATGGCTGGCCTCAGCACACACGGTGGTGCCCACCAAAGGGCTCAAGCCTGCACAGTGGCAGCCAGGCTGGGTTGCAGCAGAGCATCCAAGCCCAGCACAAGCAGCCAACCACAGGTCACTTTGTAGCCCCAAGCCTGGCACAAGCATTGGCTGACCTTGGCCTGCACCAGAGCCTCTTCCAAGAGGCTCCAGAACTAACACACCCAGTGGTTAACTTCAGACCACATGAGAGCACCACCCAACCGGCTCCACAAATGACACCCTTGAAAGACAAGCCTGTTTGGTACCAGAACTCAGCTAAAGCAACTTCTACTCCATGGAGTCAACATCCACACAATAGTCTCCACATAGCCAAAGCAATCTTGAGAAAGAACAAAGTTGGAGGTATCACATTACCAGACTTTAGGTATGGTGGTCAAGGCAGTGTGGTACTGGTATGGGGATAGATGTGTGGATTGATGGGGCAGAATGGAGAGCCCAGATGTAAGCCCATATCTATATCATCAACTGATCTAACAGAAGGCAGGGCTGTACAGAGGAGTAAAGACAGTCTCTTAAGTGGTTGCTGTGTTGAGAAAGCTGGACAGATACTTGCAGGAAAGTGAGGCTGGACCACATTCTTACTCTATATACAGGAATGAACTCAGAATGGACTGGGACTTGGGTGTAAAACCTGAGACCATGGAACTCCTATAGAAAACTACAGGGAGTAAATCCTTTGACATTACTCTAAACAATATTTTTTATAGGTATATCTTCTCAGGCAAGGGAAACAAAAGGAAAGAGAAATAAATGGGACTATATAAACTGGAACTATAAACTAAAAAGCTTTTGTGTAGAGGAAGCCATCAACAGAATGAGGGAACAAGCTACTGAATAATAAAAGACATTTGCCAGCTCATATACACAGACAACAGTATAGTGATTACCAGAGGGAAAGGGGAATAAATGGTGATGGAAGGAGATTTGACTTGGGGTGAACATATAATATACAGATGGTGTATTATAGAACTGTGCACCTGAAATATGTATAATTTTATTAACCAACTAGAGGCCTGGTGCACAAAATTTGTGCATGGGTGTGGTCCTTAGACATGGCCGGTGATCAGGGCCTTCCAGCTGCCAGACAGGGACTCCTTTTGTTCCATGTCACCCCCTCGTGGTCAGTGCACATCATAGTGAATGATTGGTCTCCCAGTCGAACTCCTGAGGGGACACTTTTCATATTAGCCTTTTATATAGACTAGAGGCCCAGTGCATGAAATTTGTGCATGGGAGGGGTGCTCAGCCCAGCCTGCACCCACTCGCAATGCAAAACTCCTCAGGGGATGTCCAAACTGGCAGTCAGAGATCCCTCTCGCAGTCTGGGACCGCTAGTTTCTAATCGCTTGCCGGCCTGATCACCCCTAACTGCTCTGCTTACCTGCCTCAGCCCCTGCTGCTGCAGCTTCATCCGTAATGACATCTGGAAGGTCATTCAGCTGTCTGGTCTAATTAGCATATTACCATTTTATTATTATATATGTCACCCCAATAAATTTTATGAAAACCATTGTTTCTAATTATAAAAGTTAATCACTGTAGAAAATAAGGGAAAATAGAAAAGATAAAAACAAATCACATGTATTCCCATTCCCTCAGGATAACCAAGGTTAGTATTTTGGAGTTTTCCCTTCCCATCTTTTTCCGTTTTGTAACAGAATTATGACCATAATGTGTATACAATTTGTGACCCATTTTTGTTTCATTTATCACAGAAGTGCTTCCTTATATTAATGAAAAGCTATTCATCAAATATATTTATAATTATCTCCTACTGGTAGGTATTTAGACTTTGACCAATGTTTTTGTCCATCACAGTAGTCTCCTAAAAGAAGTTCCCAGTTGAAATTGTACAACATTCAGGAAAAGAAGAGTGAAGATCTCAAAGAGACCCCACATCTCTGGCTCAAAGCAAAAATCACCTGTGAGAACTCTCTAATTACGAATCTATGCCGCAACCCTTCTAGGAAAGGAGGCGGGAAGCTCATGGCTTTGTCTCAGGGGCCATGCAGATCTGAGCAGGCCAACCAGGTTGTCAGCCTAGGTCTGGCACCTCACACAACTGGGACCGACAGGCTCAAACAATGGTGGGATTTGCTTGAACCAAAATCACCAGAATTCAGGCGATATGGAGCATCACGGAAATCATTGCCAAACCACACCATTCAGAGGAAAAGCAGGACAACAGGAGGACTGATGCTTTTAAATACAGAGACTGGCTGCTCCCTGAGAAAGAAGGGTGAGGTGGGGTAAAAAGGAGAGACATGAGAGAAACACATTTCAGGGGCCTCCAGGAACAAAGGGGAGACTGGTGGCTGGAGTGTCTACTCATGGAATTAGAACACATCAGCTTACTAACTTCCCTCATTAGTCAAGTGGCATTGTAGCCCCGCTCTAGCCCCTTGGACTGACACTGTAGACTTCACTGGTCCAAACCTCAGCTTAATCCTAAAGACAGATTGTACACTCGTGGCTGGAACTTAGTAGGGTGGGAGCCACTGAAGGGGCCACGTGCTTCCTCTCATGGCCCTCTTGCAGCAAATGTAATGGCCTCTGTTGTTGCCAGTATCATGGTGTAGCATAAATCCTCAGCTTTTGTCTGTGTTTAATTACTACCCTGGGAAGTGCTATCAAAGTGCAAGGTTTTTGGCCAGGCATGCTGCCTACTAAGGGGCACACATACAAATAAGGAATTCCCAGTGCCATGCTGGTCCTTTGTACTAATGTCCACCAAAATATGGGGTAATACAAACTGGGAACCCCAATTGCACCCGACCAATGAGCCAGCTCTAAAATGGGGACAGAAACTCATCCTTCAGCTTGTTTTAAGGTATCTAGAAGGAAAGCAGGCAGGCCCTTCACCTATACTGGGAGCTTTCAGGGTCAGAAAGTGGAGGAAAGACCTATTCAGGGGACATCCCCTCTGGTCAGAGGCAAGTATTGTGAAAGATCATCCTTCTAAAAGGAACAAACATCAGCACAAACCCTTAAGAGAAGCAGAGCAAAGAAAAATATGGAAAGACCAAAAATATTAAAAGGAGGTAAAAGACATGAAATATTTGTATGCATGACATGTAACACTATCTACAAAGGTTTTTGTTGATTTTTGTTTAGACACAAGGAAATGACAAAATGAAGGATAATAATCTTAATACTCTCGATACATAAAAAGCACTCGACAAGATACAACATTCATTTATGACAAAACTCTCAAAATGGGTTTAGGAGAAAAGTACTGCAACACAATACAATATAGACCACATGACAAACAGCAGCTAACAACTGAACATTTTCCCTCTAGGATCAGGAACAAGACAAGGATGCCCACTCTTGCCACTTCTATTCACATAGTACTGGAAGTCCTCGCCAGAGCAATTAGGCAAAAAAAAAAAAAAAAAAAAAAAGGGATCCAAATTGGGAAGAAGTGAAACTCATTATTTGTGGATGACATTTTATACGTGGATAACCCTAAAGACCATAAAAAAAACTATTAGAAGTAATAAACTCAGTAAAGTTGCAGGAAACAAAATCAAAATGCAAAAATCTGTTGCATTTCTCTCTACTAACAATGAACTATCAAAGTGAAATGAGGAAAACATCCCATTTACCATCACTACAAAAAGAATATGATACCTAGGAATAAGTGTAACCAAGAATGTGGAAGACCTATACACTGAAAACTGCAATACAATTGTGAAAGACACTGAAGAAAACAAGGAAATGAAAAGCTATTCCGTGTTCACAGACTAGAAAAATTAACATTGTTAAAATGCCAATGTTATCTAAAGGAATCTACAGAGTTAATGCAATCCTTAACAAAATCCCAATGGCATTTTTCACAGAAATGGAACAAAAAATCCTGAAATTTGTATGGTACCACAAAAGACTCTAATAGCCAAAGCAATCCTAAGGAAAAAAACAAAACAAAAAATGGATACATCACATTCCCCAATTTTAAACTATATTATAAAGCTATAGAAAAAATAAAGTTTAGGGAATACAGGAAAATAGAGATTTTCAAATTCTAGCACCTTGAAATAACTACCATTAATACTGGATGAATACCATTCCCATGCATACATACCAGAAGGATGAATTCTTCATAAAAAACAAATATTTATTTCACCAGAAATTCAGAAAACAAGTAAAATAAAGCAAAACCACCAAGACAATCCTATATAATAAAAGGCTATTATGCAAATAGACCAAACAGCGGAACCAAAACAACCAAAACAACTGAACAAGTGGTCTCTATGCCCACCAGGGGTGTAAGCTGAACATGGTGGGTGTTGGCCACGGTGGGATGAAGTAGCAGATGAGCAGGGGCGCCAGACCAAGGTGGGACACCGGTCACTGTCATTAGGATGAGCCTCTGGTAATTACTGAAAATTCTTTGTTCCCGCCTGGTGCTCACACCTATTGCCAGTGCCAGCCCTGCTTACACCTGCAACTGGCACTGGAGCTGTCACTCACACCTGCTGATGGTGCCCAGCACCAATCCCAATCACTCAGTGCCATTACAGGTGTGAGTAGCAGCTTCTGGCCTGATCCCTATCAGGGCTTTTCCACCTCCCCCTGCTCCTGAGGGGTGATTGGGGCAGTAGCCAATGTTTGCACCCGCTGCTGGTGCCAGCCTCAATTATTCCGTGCTGTCACTGGGTGCAAGCAGGGCCAGCATCTTCAGTGCACGGGAGTGAGGCAGCGGGAGCGGGGCTGCCTGTAGACAGGACCTGGGGCCGTGGGGGGAGGGGCCAGGCAGGATATCACAGAGAATGGGCAGAGACCTGCCCTTGTGCATACCACAACCTTGAGGCCCACAATTCCTTTCAAGATGCACCAATTTGTGCACTGGGCCTCGAGTGATAAATAAGGGAGATTTCCTTATGCAGCACACAATTCACACCTTTCTAATCAGACTTTCATTTCACTTTGCCTCCCAGAAGCCAGGATTTACCCCACCTCCTTTTTTACACGCTCCAAATTTAGAATCCAAAAGTGTCTCTATATCTGAACCCAGCTGTTAGCACCTTCCAGCATGTTCCCCGTCATCCCACTGAGCCTATCATATTCACTGCACTGGGTTGGTTTGTTTCGTTTCCTTTTCTTCTGTGTGTGGGGCAAGATGAGTGGAAAGGGGAAGATTTCGCCCTTCATTTCAAATGCTACAATTCATCTGCTCTTTAATGCACATACATGTATTTTCTGCCCTCCAGCCATCTCATCATTCTGCTCTAGCTGAGCATTCCCATAAACATTTGTATTCCTCTGACATCCCAGCAACCACAGTCCTTTCCTGAAGGTGGCCAGGGCACTGCAATGTCAGCCTCACTTAGTGCGTAAACAGCCTTTATCAGTTCCTGTCTCCAGGTTCAACCCGAATGGGCAGATGTATGCTTCATGGTGCCTCCTAATTAGCCAAAAGAGGACACTTTCCAAAGCCTCACTCTGTAATCTGCCACTACTGTTGATGTGTATAACTATTAAATGCAAAAGGCACCATTAAAATAACATTAGTTTCTGGTGGTTGCCTTGGTGTTCTTGACTGTTCTGGGTACTTACTTGAGTTTTCAGAATTCCAGGAATCTTTCACTCACCTGACATTGTTAGATGGAGGTGGAGATGAGGCCCCAGGCCACCTATGATGATGATGTTACTGTTCTGTTTTCACACACTGAGCATGTGTGTGAAATTTCCTGAGCTTAGGCAGTGTGTCTGACCTCATCCTCCTTGCTGAATGACTGGCTTTCAGGGGCAACCACGAGAGGAAGAAAAATGAATCCCTGGTCTTGGAGGCTGTCACCACAGGCTGCTGGAGCCTCTCACAGCCCCAGAAGCCCCCAGGAACTTCAGGGCCCCAGCCTTTTATATAAGCAAGTGTTTGGAAAACATTCCAAGCAAGTCAAACAATAAGTATTCCCCCTGGTTAGCAAAAATGAGAAGCAAATCACCTGCCTAGCTCAGACTGGCTTTATTTTATTTGCTAAATAAAATATTTCTACCTTTCAGCATGCAAATAGCACTTATAAGCATTTACTGCTTCAACTAGGAAATTCACTGAGTGACGGCAGAAAACTTCTGCTGGGACAGCAGAGCAGGGAGAAGCTTTAGGAAGTGGGGGCATACCTTTTTAGCTGCGGCTGAAGAAATTATTTTCTGGTCCAGTAGGTTGAGAAGCTCGGCCAGTGCAGAAGGTGTGACAGGACTAGCAGCCCCAAAAGGAGAGAAAAGAAATGCATACTTCATGTTAGCATATCCATTTACAGTTTCTTGTAACTGCAAGACTCGATTTTATAGGTTTACATAATTAACCTCCTACCCAGGAAGGAAAACAGGTCCATTTGGGCTTTATTTTATTTACTTTGTATTTTAAGATATAACAAATTTTTGTGAGTAGCGTTGTTTTTCTTTGTTTTACCGCCCAACAATAACAGCTGTTTGGCAGAAGTTGTAGCAACAGACAATTGCTCAGTTTAATTTGTCAAAGAAAGGAGGTGGCTGCAAAATTCATGAACCGTGATGAGGAAAGAAAACAAAACAAAACAAAACAAAAAAAACTCACCCCAGTAATTAAGTATTTTCAACAGAAGACCAGCCTAAAGATTACTTTAAACAAAACAGCTAACAAAGGCACATTTTGAGAGTTTCTGTGGAAATATAAATTATTTTTTATTATGAGAGCTTTTCTTTAAGGGAATACAATGACTACCCACCATTTCTTTAGCTATCCTCAAGGGCATCTTCTTAAACTGTTCTCTTCTGAAGTCACAAGAGCTTTCAGGACACAAGGCTTAGAAGTCATTATCTATACTTCTAGGACATGACTTATTTACCAAGATGCTGTGATACAAAAGGCCAAGAAGCAAATAAACACAAAGTGTCATTAATTCACACTCAGGGGTAGGAGTTGGGGTGAGGGGGTGAGTGCCGAGATTACTGAAAAGACAAAACTGAATTATAGATTTCTTTTAAAATATATGGTTTTGCTACTTCCAAACACATACAGTAACTAGGATAATTAAACCGTCTATCTGAGGTCATTATGGGCTAGTTTTAAATAGGTGGGACAGCTTATAAACAGCGCTTAACACCACTCGAAAAATACCTTCTGTTTGAGTCTTGGTTGTCATCATTTGCTATTCATTTCTTTGCAAGCTCTTAGATAATAAAAAAGAAACTGCCGTTTAGCCTCTGCCAATTTCCATGAATTTCAGACCAAGAGAATGCAAGTTAACCTGATGTGCCTTACTGTGCAGTCTGATGCAAGTACAGTGAGACCTCATTAAGATTGTTCACTGAAAACAGCTAACACATGGAGGCAGACATTAGCCTCAAAGTGTTTGTTTATCCCAAAGTACATATGGATAAAGGTGACCCCAAGTGGAAATTAGGTTTGGAGAGTGTCTGATGTTATTAGTTGGCATCTGGAACATCTGTGAAGCCCCCTGATTAAGTAGCAACAGGAAGAGGGGCAGACGACTGGGAAATAAGCTTTTGCCAACCTCCACCCTGACGGGTCATACAGAATCAGGTTGCTAGGATGCTCTGCAATCCTAGAAAATACAACAGCCAATTAGACTGTCTAGAACCACAATCAGCACTGAGATGGAACTGGATTTCTAGAACAGTGGTCGCCAACCTTCCAGACCTCACAGTCCACCAATGGTCTACGGACCACTGGTTGGCAACTGCTATTCTAGAGCATGCAAAAAAAAAAAAAGGGGTGGGGGGAAGGAGTTCCTACTACCATATGAGTCCAGGATATAAAAGATGCTGGGACAGAGGACAGAAACAGAACATAACTAAAAATACTTTGCCTTTCACCTTTCACCTAATGACCTTAATTCATTAAGTAGATGATAAATTTATACTATAAAACACCTCTTCTGACCTACTAGCACTTTGGATTTCTCAATCGCCTTTTTACACCCACAATGCTTAACATATAGTAGGTCAATAATATGCTTCATAGAATTCTTCCCCAAATGGGGGCATCTGGTATACTGCATATACCAATTCTAGATATATCGATACTAGGGCTAACCTCGAGTAAGAGGATGACAAAGATCAGTTCCTATCTCACTCTTAAGAACTCCACTCACCATATAAATAAATAAACCATCAATATGGAACAGAATGGCAATAGAAGCACAACTATTAATATTAACTTGCTGCTGTCAGATAATACCAGTTTCTGGACAGTAAATGCATCGCAGGCAAGAATTAGCTGACACTGAAGGATTAAGCTTTCTGTGCTCGCTTCCAATCCTCCAAGGCCAGGGTATCTACAGAGCAGAGGAGATGGGGTATATCATCTCTCTCAACTTCATCCAGAACTTTGGAGCCTTTTAGGATCACAATTCCATCACCAGCTTGGATTGTGGCAACAGATACCTGATACCTCTCAACCATGATCCGGCCAAACTGTACTTGGTAAATGTGCTGACCATCTCAATCTCAAAGCTCATTTTAGGTCCAAAGTTCACCTTCTGTAGATGCAAAAGCTCCTGGAGGAAGACATGGGACTTGGACATCCAGGGGCTCTTGCTGCTCAACAGTCCTTTTATCTCTCTCTTTTAATTTTTTTAAAAAATTTTTTATTGATTTTTTACAGAGAGGAAGGGAGAGAGAACCAGAAATGTCAATGAGAGAGAAACATTGACCAGCCGCCTCCTGCACATCCCCTACAGGGGATGTGCCCGCAGCCAACGTACATGCCCTTGACCGGAATTGAACCCGGAACCTTTCAGTCCAGAGACCGACGCTCTACCACTGAGCCAAACCGGTTTCGACTATCTCTCTAACTCTTAACAACCAGACTGTCACAGCCTCCTTCCCATGACCCTCTCGGCAAATACCCTCTCCTCCCACTTCATAAAGACATCAGCTGATATAAGATTCATCATTTTCAATTGTGCCCTCCTCCTATTTCATCAAATAAACCCCCTTGGCCCATACTCTTAATCCCATCACCCTCCATTCCTAAGATTCAGACTCACTCAGATACTTACTCCCTCTCTCTTGTGGCTTTAATGTTGAGATATTCCCTATCATGAAAATGCCTTTTAGGATCACAGCCAGTGAAGCCCAGCCAGTGAAGCTCAGTGGTTGAGCATTGACCCATAAACCAGGAAGTCACGGTTCAATTCCTGGTCAGGGCACATACCCAGGTTGTGGTCTTAGATCCCCAGGTAGGGAGCATGCAGCAGGCAGCCAATCAATGATTCTCATTATTGATGTTTCTATCTCTTTCCCTATCCCCTCCTCTCTGAAATCAATAAAAAAATATATTTTAAATTAATAACCAGTCCTAGCTCACAGGTTATAAACTGGGCTCACAACCCCCATTATTAATGCCATCCACATATCATACCATTGGACTAATCTTCCTGTCACTATCAGTCCCTTCTTGGCCTGAAACATTCCCTGGTTCTTTAGAGCGTAAGGAAGTCTGCACAGCTGCCCTGGGAGTTCAGGTACTCTACTGGCCTGGCATCTGGGCTTTATCAAGAAATGTTTGCTCAGGGAATAGGTCATTTCCACTTTCTTAACGAAATCAACCTGTTATTAACAGTAATTTAGAATGAGATATTAACAAAAAAACACTTTAAAATATATCTGAAGTAATTAAAAAACCATGTTTAAAAAGAGCTTTTCTGGTTGGACCCTTTAAATACCAGGGGCCTTAGATATCCTCTAAGAACACTGAGAGGTCTTCAAAGATGGATGCTAGTTTACAAAATCTGTCCCTGCCACCTATCTCTAGGGTGTTCCTTGCAGGTGTCATCATGAGACTACGTAATGTGAGCTCTGTAGTACTGCTATTCTAAGCTTTGAGAACATTCACCCTAGTGGTAGGGTTGTTCATTAGTGTGTGTCCCAAGGGCACACTGGCAAACCAGACCAGCTAGCAGGTCTGTGAAAGGTATAGGAAGAGAGCTGTTCCAGCTAGGTCTGGGCTCCTCAATGTTTGTTTTCATACAAAATAAAACAGAACTGTTGTTTAGTTTTCTCTTTACCTGTTTTTAGAACAACCAAATATAGTGGACACTGGAACAATGCCTGGTTTAGGGCGCCTATTGCAAGAGCATCCAAAATCCACTTAACTAATAATCCAACTTCCCCAAGACTTAATAGCCTATTGTTGCATAGAAGCCTTATCAATAACATGAACAGTTAGCACATATTTTCTATGCTATATTCTTATAATAAAGTAAGCTAAATAGGATATTAAGAAAATCATAAGGAAAATACATTTACAGTATTTATTGAAAGAAATCTGTGTATAACTGGACCTGCACGGTTCAAACCTGGGTTGTTCAAGGGTCAACTGTATACTTTTATTTCTAACTGGGTACCCTTTCAGTTAAGACTCCAGTGCTTATGAATTGTTTGGATAAATACCAGGAGCTCCAACTTCACTAAACAAGCTCATTTATCAACCTCAGTTCCTTTGGAAGCTACCAACACCTTAAGCAAACCCCTAATTTCACAGACCAATATGAAAAGAAACTGACCTGAAAGTCAGGGGATGTGGCTTCCAGTTTTAGCAGGCTGCAATATAACCTTACGGATTAGGGCCTCCATTTCCCCATGTGCTAAACGAAGGAGCTGGACCAGAGGATAGCCACCAGGACTAAAATTCAGGGAGCATAGCCAACAATATAGAGACCATAAATTTGCAGCTAAGATTGCATTTTCTCCAAAAGCTCACACGACATCATCTTGCAGCCCTCCTGGTGTCCCCTGGCTGACATCATCTCCCTCCTCTCTGTTCCTACTGCACTGTGCAGAGGTCTAAAACAGGAAGTACCCCATTCGGCTTTGAATTAAAATATTCCCCAGGAGACAGAAAGCTTCCTGAAGGCCCAAATGGGTCTGTTTCTCTCTCCACACACTGCAGAGATGCATGTGTTTTCCTTGAGTTCCCACACCCTGCATATTCTGGTTCTGCTCCAATGATACAGTTAACTGTACTCTCCTGACATTTCCCACCCTCTGCTCCTACCAGCTATGCTCCTCCCTGGTCCAAAAACATGCCAGTTTCTTTCCATTCCCACACCTTGGCTCCCCACTGGTGTCATGCTGCCCCTCTTCCTCACCAAATCCTGTCCATCCTTTAAGACAGAAGTGGGGAACGTCCAGACCACGGTTGTATAAGGCCCTGTGATATCATCTGGTCTGGCCCTGACCAGGCAACAGCAGGCAGGACTCATAGTTTAATAAATCTAGGAGCTTTTTTCATAGCAGCATAAATTTATAATAAGTAGATTATATTAAGAGAATGATGTTATAAATAGCCCAATGGCCCTTGGCAGAAGAAAAGGTTCCTCACCCTGCTTTAAGACAAAAAGGCAACAGAGGGATACGTGTGGAGGAGACTGAGGGTGGCCATTACTTTGGCATCTAATACACCTAGATGGCAAAAAGAAGGGAACTAACAGCGAGGGTCCACCCTGTGCCAGGAACTGTGCACTTTCTTCTCAAAACCTTTGGGGGCAGGTATGGTCTTTTCCTTTTACAGTGAGGAAACAGGTGCAGGGAGGGGAGCTCCTTCAGGGTCACTGTTGACAAGTAACTCAGAAGGAAAATGCACTGACCCCACATTAATACATGCATATACACATGTGAGCAAGAGGCTGGACCTCAAGTTGGCATTGCAGAGAATTCATGTCTTTGAGCAAACACCTTTGGAACTGAATACCAATAAAAGCCATCTTTCCACTGCACTTCTCCACAGCAATGGATACTGAGACAATGACACACCCACCGAGACCGGGCTCCACTGGGACTGGGACCTTGCCAGGGTCCTGCCGACTGCCTCTGTGTCCCTAATCAACTCTCCCAGCTCTCCACATTTAAACCTGCTGCTCACTCTCTCCTTCTTGAAACTTTCCTTTCTGGGGGCATCTGTGACACCAGTTCTCCCTTGGCTTTTCCCCTCTTTGCTGCCTACACTTCTCAGTTCAGAGAATCTCAGACTTCTCATCGGCCACCTCCCTGACAGTTCTCATCTGCCCCCACAATTTCACGTACCTTCTCTATGCTGCTCAGTCCATGTTCTATTTATACCTGACTATGTATTTGCATTTCTAAAAGTGCCATTCTCAGACTTATTCAAGACTTTTCTACTTGTTGCTCCCTGTGCCTGAACACTTTTCTCCTGGACTTTGCCTGACTAACCCTACTTATCCTTGCTCAGGTCTTGGCTTAGCTGTTAGTTTCCCTTCTCAGATCATCTAACTCATTGCTTTGTAATCACCAGCTTCTGGCCCGTCAACTCTGAAAGGACTTCCCCTATTATGCTGACTAGTCTTCCCAGGCTTAACAGAGTGTAAGTTAACATGTGTTGAATAGTGAACGCATGAGAATGCTCAGATTTATACCTCCCATATATCTGTCTGCAGCAGATCAATATGTCCAACTGCCTGTTGGTTACTCCCATGATGCAGATGTCCTTCACCAGGTTAGGGAAGTTTTCAATTATTTCTTTAAATAAATTCTTGATCCCTTGCTCTCTTCTCCTTCTGGTACCCCTATAATGCAGATGTAGTTACACTCCATGTTGTCCCAAAGATCCCTTAATCTCTCCTCATTTTTTAAAGTTATTTTATCCTTTTACTGACTTGATAGGTGCTGTGTCTTCCAAATAGCTTATTCAAACCTCTGGTTCATTCAACCTGTTTATTCCTTCTATTGTATTCTTCATTTCAGATATTGTATTCATTTCTGATTTGTTTTTTATAATGGTTTCTATGCCCTTTTTCATGTTGTATTTCTAAGTTCATTGATCAACCTTATCTTTTTTTAAAATTCTATACCTGAAAAATTGCTTGCCTCTATTTCATTTAGTTCATGTTCCTGGATATTTATCCTATTCTTTCATTTGGGGCGTGTTTCTTTTCTCCTCACGTTGGCTGACTCTTTGTGGTTATTTCTATGTTAGGTAGATCTGCTTTGACTCCCACTCTTGGTAGAATGAACGTAAGTAGTAGGTGTCTTGTGGGACCCTATGGCACAATCTCTTCGATCACTTCAACTGGGTGCTCCAGAAATGTCCCACATGTATGTTTTATGTAGGCCTTCCTGTTATAATAGAGTCTGCTGTTGTAACTAAGTCTTTGATTGCTAATGGCCCATGCGTCGGGCCAACCCTCAGGCTGGCTGGCTATGAGGACTGACCTGTACCACAGTGTATGAGCTGTTGTGCAGGTGCTGACCACAGGAAGCAGGATATGCCACTTGTGAAGCTTATTGGATCCTGCTCTGATGCTGTCTTAAGCTAGCCACTGGGTATATTGTTCTGGGGTCTCTTGGGAGGGACTTTGGTGCAGGCTAATATTAGGTGCTGCTCTGACTGACCATGGGCAACCAGACTGAACTACAAAGTGATCCACAATTTGTGGCTGCCTCAGCTGGGCCTGGGTATGTGTGGGAAGGATCAAGCTGCACAAAGGCTGGCTTTTACCAGCACCAGGCCCAGGGGCCCATCAGTAGAAGTCCCATTTTACCCTAAGACCCACCTAAATCTGCCTCCACCTGCTGGCTGCCTATCAGGCTCAGTTACTGAAATAGCCTCTGGTGGTACTCAAGTTGCATGAGATAGTTTCTCAGTGAGTCATCAAGCAGGAGTAAGTGGTATTCATCAGACTGATGTTTAAACTCGGTGCCAGTAATGGGTTTAAGACCACTCAGGAAAGGTCCTTAGGTATACTAAGTTAAGTGTGCCACCTACTGGGTGCTTGCGCATCTTTGTAGTGGAGTGGGGTCTCGGAATCACCAAGGTAAGGCCAGCAGAGTTTATCAGTCCCATGATTCAGCCATGTGAAGGGAGGGCTCCCCATTGGTCGAGGGAAGAGCCCCTGTCCTAGAACTACATGGCTCAGTCTGTCCAGATTCTGCCACGAGCCCGATCTCAGCAGGGTGGGGCTGCTGGAAGTTGGAAGAATGAGGCTAGTGTATCTATCATGAGGGGAAGGTGCCGATCAGGCTTGGGGGAAGAGAGCCACACAACTCAGTCTGTCCCAGATTTTGCCTAGATCTTGGCAGGGTGAAACCCATCAGGAGTCAAGCAGATAAGGCTACTGGGAACCTGGAGAGTAGGGCTGGGGGATCTCCTATGAGGAGGAGGTGCTAGTCAGTTTCATGAGAAAGAGGGAGGAATGGCTCCCTCTCAAAGCCACATCACTCAGTTACCAAAACCCCCTTAGCCTGCCCAGATCTCTGCACCCAGACCCAGGCAGCTGACTCCTCAGCAGAGTGTAAGCTCCACAGTGTGGGGAAATAGGTTGAGGGTGAGGCTATTCATTCCCCTAAGCTGATGCTGTAAGGAGGACAGTGTTCCACCCAAGAAAGATAATATGTGGTGTGGGAGAATAACTCAGCAAAGGAATCCTAGAGGCTATTCCTTCAGCTTTCTCCCCAGAGCCACCAACACTAGTCTCTCCTCACATAACTCTAGTCCGCTCTGCCCTCCCTCTTCTGGAGTTCAAGGTGAGTGACTGAAAATGAAATTTTGTGCATTGGCCCTTTAAGAAAGCACTTGTGTCTCTAGAAGACTGCTATTTCTCCCCAGGGAACAAAATCCCTGCTGATTTTTACAGCCAGATATTATGTGGGTGTCTCTCCTGGCTTTGGAGCCTGTATTGAGGTAGAGACCCCATCTTCTCAGTGGGAATTTTTGCAGTTGAGATATCCCTCCAGAATCTCAGCCATTGCCTGTGGGAGCAGGGCCAGCTCTTTTCACACCTCTGCTCTTCCTACCAGTCTCAATGGAGCTTTTTCTGTAAATCCTTGGCTATAAGATTTCTCTTCAAATAGTCTTCAGTCGGTTATTCTGGCTGACTATTCTATATTTTAGTTGTAATTCAGTTTGGTCCAGGGAGGAGGTGAGTGTAACATCCACCTACTCTGCTACCATCTTGATCTCTCACTGTCTGTCTTCTTACGGTTCTGTAGCCCCCCAAACTTGCAAACTCCTTATTCGTTCATCCATAGTACAGAGGACATTGTGCACAGTCAGAGTTTTCATAAGAAAAGCTTTAGAATTTGGATTTCTCAGGGGATGTTTGTGTCTTGTCAGGAGATACTGAAGGGAACAGGAAGAATAAAACACTGGTCCTGCCCTATTTCAACTGCTCCTGGACAAGAGTTCATCTCAAAACAAGAAGAAATCCCTAGATCCCACTCACCTCTCACTGACAGCAAGGTTCTGTTGCTTTAAAAAACCCAGGAAAGTGTTGAGGACCCAACTAGTCACTTTTTTTGGCTCTGCCCTAGTTTCTTTCATCACATTTTGGAAGAACTCCAGTAGGCCAACTTCATTCTGTAAAGAAAAAAAAAATTGTGTAAAACCTTCCAAAAAGTGAAAGATCAGCATTCTGAAGACAAATCAAACTGCCACCTTCTGCATCCTCTGCGGCAATTTCCTAAATATGGAGATGTCACCAGAAAATCTTGATCACTTTCAGTAAATAGAAAGTATTCTGCTGCTATCACCATGCATTTATACAGCACTTTTTGAAGGAATGAACATATTTCACAGCCCTCGCTTTATGGGCCAGAGGAAAAATGAAATCTCTCATCCCCTAAACTTGCTTGCCCTCTCAGTGTCAGCCTTGTGTACTCTGTATCCTTGATCCTTGGGTCCACAATGTTCAGCCTGAGTTTACTTTAGTATCTTTTTCCAGTCCTTTTTCTGTGGAAATCCTAGTGATTGCTAGAATAACAAGGTATGAAGAGCAAATCAAAAAGAAACTAACAGAATATTCTACTTTTGAGAAACCAAAAGTGGACTATAACTGTATCCATCTTTACATCACCCCAAGAGGTGAGAGAAGTGGTTTTCAAAATGAGGAAGAACTCAGGAACATATAATCCACTTAGACCACATAACCATTGGAGGGAGCAGCAGCTTCTACGTCTTCTGAACCAAGCTAGGCCTGGCTGACCCTGCCTGTCATCCTGCTCCGTGAAAGCAATCAGCTGGGTTGATTCATCAAGAAATCTTGTTTGAAAAAGACTCAACTGCCACCCCCCCCCCCCCCCCCCCGCTTCTGTCAACTCCATGAGTGAGGGGCCATGCTGTCCTGTTCACTCTGTAACTAGAGCTAAGTGAGTGCTGGGCCATGGCTGTTACTTGGTAAATACTGGTGGATGTAATCAATGTCTCCCATCACCATGTGTATTTTTTCAAAATCAGATGTGAACATTCATTCTTTAGCATACCATGTTTACCTTTAAAGTTTAGAATTGCCACCACTATGCATAGAATAATCCAAGGCACATATCAATTTATACACCATGGCTAACTTCCAGCTCAGATCAATCTGTTAGGACCAAGAAACCGGGCTAAGTCCACCCCTTGTTTTTAAAAAGAAAAATAAAAGCATATCCCACTCGGACAGGGGAGACTGAAGTTTCCAAATGCAGAGGAGACACATTTTAGAACTAGATTTCCCCAATTTGCTGAAATTCAAATCAAACCACTCTTTCCTTGAAATAAATCTTTTCAACTTCATATTAGAGGTAAGGCTCTCACCCTTACCTCTTTCATATAACCTTCATTAAACAAAAGAACTTTCTGGAAAAAATTAGATACTGGGAAGAAGCAAGACATAGTAACAAAAGTGCTCTAGAAATTTAGTTATTGCAGATGCTTTAAAATACACACAGGGACAGCTGCTAAGGTAGAAATTTCAAAAGAAAAAAAAATCTATGTGACCTTTGTAACAGATAAATTCTCTGGTGATAAGCCAACTGAATAATCCAATAATCATCTCCTGAATCTCTTTTCAAGCCAATACTGTTATTCTGCTCATGCTAAAACAGGGCAGAGGCCACCTCAGCAGCCAACGCTTGACTATAGATAAAGGCAAAAGCAGGCAGCAGGAAGAGGAAGTTCTGCTTAACTTATGGAAAAGTATTCAAACCTCCACAATGCTACACAAATCGCTGGGGAAGTAGAAAAGCGCTCTCCAGCCCAAATCAGTTGGGTAGAACTCTTTGTTCTCTCCCACACTGGCTGGCTGCTGGGGAAAAGAGCTGTCAGGAGAACTCTCTGCTTTGCCAAAGAAAGGTTTTCTAAATTCACCTAGAAATATTGTCCTTAAACTTGCAGGCTTGGCTGAGTTGCTGGAACGTGATGAATATTCCTACCTCTCCCCTTGGGTGGTTTTTTTATTGGATGGATAACATGGCAAGTCAGATTTCTGTTTATCTTTTTGTATCAGTGCTAAGATGAAGCCTCTCCAAGCTGAAACTGGACTCCACTGGGGAGTCCATGGTTTCAGTACATAATCGGAAATGCACAAGAAAATCTGCAATCATGACTGGGTGAACTACAGACAGAGGGCTGAAGAACAATGGATCAATAAAAAGTGACACATGGGTGCCTGCTCTGGTTCTTTAGATCAGAAGCTGGCTTTTCAGGAAAAACAAAATCAAAAAACAAAACACAAACAAACAAACAAAAATCACACCAATATTTTAGGTAACGTCTTCTTAGTTTTTCTGTGAGACAGGCAAATGTTAAGTAAGCCTGGCGCAAATCTCAGAAGTCCCTGGTGAATATGGCAGTGTGGCCATCTGGTTTTCTCAGAAAAACAGTGGGCCAGTAATTCCCTTACGTAAGAACTGTATTAAGAGCAAAGCAGAAAGGCCACTGCATTAGGGGACTCATTAGGTTTTTTTCAAAGGCAACAAGCAAGCCTTCAACTAAGCACTACTCTCTCCTCCATCAGACAGAGCTAAATTTCGTGACACAGTGCATCAGGTCTCCTAGCCAACTGTCCCTTCAGAGATAGCTAAAGCAGCAGGAACAACTGGTTCGGTCTTTTGGATAATAACAGGCTGTCTTTACAGCTCTGTGCCGGGAAGCATCCTTTTCACATTTTAATCAAATTTCCAAAGCATTCAATTATACCAGAGCCATGCCAAGTCAGCTCTTAGACACTAGCGGGAACCCTCCATTGTTAATTGGCCTATCAGCTGGTCAATGCTGGTGTGAGGCAAGGCAGGGGATCAATCACCCCGCCCTCACTGCCAGCTCTAGGAAGGAACCCCGATTTACCCTTGCAAGCAGGCCATGGAAGCAATGTGTCCCAACACTGTCTTTTACATTCTGCCTTCAGAAATGATAAAATGTCAGAACACCATCCAGTTGGAATAAGATAAAGGCTGATTTCTCAACTGCCACACCCAGTGAACCTGATGACAGGACTATATTTAGAAATTGGATGAAAGCAGATAAAGACAGCTGCTCAGCAGCAGATTCAGAGAAGAAAGCCCACAAAGTAAAAGTTGAGGAACAGCTGGTTATGTGGCTGGATGACCTGGCCTCACAGCGACCCCAGATTAGCAGTCCCGACCAGTTAAAAGGCTCTCAGAAGTATTTCTAGAAGTCTTGGGAGACATGGAGATCAGCAGTCAGACCAGTAGGGAGATGCACATAGCTGCTGCTAGTGATATCAATAATAATTAATACATCTTAACAGCAATAATAAGTGTCAGGCACTGTTTATACTAACTCATTTAATTCCAACAACGATCCTACAAAGCAAGTAGCAGAATTCTCTTTTACAAATGGGGACACTGAGGCACTAACTTGCCAGAGATCACACAGCATGAAAACAGTAGAGCTGGGATTTCAACATCCATGTGCTACTGTCTCTGATGAAGAAAAAGTATGTCCTTGCCTTCCTGGGGACTGAGACCAAGCATCAGTGCTAGGCATGATGTGAAGTAACTTGCTCATCAAAAGAATGAACTTTCCCACTACTTCCATTATTTTGATACCTGCCAGCTGTTTAAAGGTTCTTAATGTATTAAGAATGTTACAAAGGCCCTTGGCAATTAGCTTAGAAAATGGGAAGTTCATGTTCGGCCTTTGCCCATATATGACCCACGTGGCATTCTCTGCTGTGGCATGAAGCACACCTGTTCTAAGATCACAGAGGAAGACAGTGTCCCCCACCCCAAGGCAGTCAGAGCTTCTCCAGCCTCTTCTGCATCCCCTCCACACCCTCTCCTGAGAGAAGTTACATAGAGTACATCCAAAGTCAATGCCCTGTTCTGAAATACCTCCCCACATTACAAAATAAATTCCATTATTGTTCCTATAGTTTTGATATTAAGTGTATTGTATGTAATTGCATTATAACTCCTTTACTATGGGAAACGCATATGTGGGTTTATACCTAATGGACAGATTGTGCTTGTGGTGGGAGCGACTGATTGTACAGGATGCCCCACTTCCATGGACTGAGCAACAGTGGCTTCAACTGGTCGAGGCTCTCACAGGGCAGGATGTATTATTTTGTGGAGGTGCAAACACGAAGGGCATAGGCCATTTGGCAGGGTGTTGGGATGAGCAGCCACTGAGCATTTCTGGAGATACCCAGCATGTACATATCAATGGGGGCTCCATAGTTCCCTCATTTCCCTGTGAATCTGGCCATTCTTACAATGTGAGAAAAACAGAACACAGACCCACCAACTCTGTGAGGAATGGTCCAGGAAATAACATGTTAGTGTTCGAATGGAAATGAAAATTAGGCAAGGGGTCGGACAGAGTGGTGGTTCCAGGGCAGATAGCAGACGTCATGGCTAGATTAAGGACTGCAATGTACAGGGGGTGGCAACTTGAATCTGTGCTGTGAATGAATCCACCCTCTGCTTTTTACGGAAATAAGAAGTGACTGCAGACATCTTTCAATGAATGAACAGAAAAGAAAAAAACAAACAAACAAACAAAAAAAACCCAACTCATCCAGGAGTCTTCAGTGGGGAAAACAAAAGGTAGTCAATTGGTGGTGTGAGGCTGGCTTAGGAGATACATTTTTCCTCTTGAGTATGTAAGGAGGAAGCCAGAATCCTGAATTATCACTGCCACTTTCAAGAATATAGGGATCTCTAGTTCTGAAATTGATCCAGGAACAGGGTATGCCCTCTAGTCTGTCTTAAGGAATACACAGCTAGGGAGTTCTATAGTCCTCTTTTGGTCCCCACAATTTCCACACCTGAATCATGTTCCCAGCAGGGCTTGAGGACCCCTAAAATCTGAGCAAAACTCAAATCCCAAGATTTCACTTGTGCTCTGTTCCCAGAGAAGCTAGAATCTATATATCTGAGTTCAACTCAGAGCCTGGGTTCTACTCAGAGAGTGTTCTCACCTACAGCTGGCTCAGTCTAATGTGAAAATAAGTTTATATTCTCTGAGATGCATCAACTCTAAGAGAGATGTTGAGGGAAACCAACTTGGAAATAAGACTTGCCCTTGTGTAATCAAAATCTATGTAATTCAGAAAATAAAAATTGACAGCAGAC